ATATTTCGTCTTTATATAGATAAAGACAAAATTGTTATAATATTTCTATATTAATCTTAAACTGAATGCATATATCTGCGATATAATTTATTACAAAGTATAATAAGATAGAGCTAAGAATAATTCTAAGGAGAATTTAAAAAGAATATCAGTAATATCTGTCATACGTTATTTAAACACGGATCGCATCTACGGGGAAAGAAAATTTGTACAAATTCTTTGTAATACCAATAATGGATTCTACCATATTAGAAATATACGAGACGTCTTGTAACCGGTATTACAAGCGAACAGAGGATGATTCTATATTAAAAACTAATTCGAAAACGTAGAATAAAATTTGTTTATACAAGGCTTTGTTTTGGAGAAAAGTTTGAAAATTTATACTACCAGTAACAGGACATCTTATATATTATATATATTAATATAATAATAATATGATCATCGAGTTCACTCTTTCGATATATAAGCATATCACTTACTGCGTTAATCGTCGAAATATATTTACAACTCTTTTTTTAGGATTTCAGTTGTATATTTTTTATTTCTCGTTTGCGTAGTAAACATACGAATACTAACTCATTAATATATAACTATTAAAGATGAATAAAATGTAATCTGGAATTGTACCTCAAAGGAAACAAAATTTGTCAAATACGTTTTTCATTATCATAAATATCAATAAATGCGTATCAACATTTATTGGCATTACACTTAACAGTTATCTACGATTTTCATCAATTTTACTTTAATTGGAACATAATCTTTTATTATGAGAGAGGTAAAAATGGTTCATTTTAATTTTCACACACAGACGCACAGTGTCCTATTAATTCTTAATAATTAAAATAAATATACTTATATAATATATGTTAAAATATATGAATTAAAACAAATATTACGTATTAAAATGATTGTACTTATATTTGTATTTAATTTTAATCGTTATGATTTTGATATCATTTGTTAGTTGATTAATTAACTATAACTAAAGAATTTATTTTCATACTTTGTTAAAAGTATTTTTCACGTTCGTAATAAATTTTTAGTAGTTGTTTGTATGGAATTCTGAAAAGCTTTATTTAATAAATAGTGCTTCGATTAATTTTATTCAAAATTAGTTACTATTACTGAAGTGTTAAAAAATAGATACATATAAAAAGCACGCATTATCGAAATATTTTGAAAAATACATTTAATCGTTTATTTAAGGGAGTATCAAATTTGGCAGCTCTTCAGTCTAAATAAGACAATGTTGTCTTCGGTTCCCTTGCAAGGGTTAGTAAATACTGTATAGGTATATTAAATTAATTTACAAACATCCATGAGAGAAAAAAAGAAATAGAGAGAGAGAGAGAGAGAGAGAGAGAGAGAGAGAGAGAGAGAGAGAGAAAGAAAGGGGATGTTGTTTCCTAACTACTTTACTTCTAAACCAACATCAATAATAAAAAAGTAGTCTTACAAAAAGTGGAATAAAAAAGTTATATATGAAAAATATACCCGTAGAAACGATCCAATAAGTTTGATGAAATGGATATGTATAACACTTTTTATAGCATTAATATTCATACTGACTAGCAAACATCATCAAAGCAATAAAGTGGTCATAAACTCATTATAACAGATTTATAATAAGTTTATTAGTTTTGACTTTTATTTTTCACACTCATTTCTATAAATCTTGTGTTTGCTGGGCCAGTATCATTGTTGCAATTTATATATATATATATATATATATATTGTATAGGTATATATATACATATATATTGCATATATAAGAGTAAGACTTTTGTGCAATTGTGCAACATTGCTTTTACATTAAAGTGTAAAAATATTGACAGATTATTCATTACAACAACCAACATTTTCAAATTCATATTTTTGTCTTCGATCATTTTAATTGAGTGTGTTACAAAGAAGAATATTCTAAATGGGATGTAATTAAATGAAAAAAGAAAATCAAATGTTAAATGCACATATATCAATAGTTCGTAAAACATGAATCATTTGATGATGATGATGATGATGATGAAAATAATAATAATAATAATAATCAATTTGTTCATAATTCTTGCTATCCTTTCTGTACCCGTTTGAGAGGCATAGCTTATAAGAATATAGAATATGTATAATCATTATGAACTGTAGATATTTATTCTTTTTTTCTTCCATTTTTATTTTGTTCATCTTAAGCTATGCGCGATTTTATGCTTTCGTTATTTCCTTTTTTTCTCTGTCTTTTCATAATATATTACAATTTGATTCACATTTATACACATACATAAGAATCCACGTAACTCGTGGCTTCGAGCTCATGTTCTAAATTAAAATTACATACTTCGTATTGTATCATTTAAATTGTTTGCATTGTCCTCATGACTATTTTTCATTATTTTTGATTATTTCACTTACTCTCTTTATTTAAAAACGTGAGTTCTGGTCTATTGATTGTTATATTACTATATCATGATCCTTGTTTTTTTAATAATATTCCATATGTCATAAAACATTAATCAGCCATTATTTTCAGTATCAAAGTATATAACTTGGTGATAAAAATCTTCCGTTCGTGAAAATTCAACGGAGAATGCGTTATTTCAAGGAAGATTTTTAACAAAGATGAGACCTTATAGAGAAACTACGACAACAACGGAATTTAATCAATTCGGCCGTACAATGGAACGATATCGTGTTTTATCCAAAAGTCGCAATTTGGATAATCGTGTTGGGGTATGATATCCTGACCAACTATAAGAACTCTATTCGCGCCTTTCGGATCGGCCTGTGCTACTTCTCCGTGCCATACGTAATGATTGAACAATTGTTGCATCGCAGATACATGCCTTTTTTCTTCGGGCGTTCTTGCAGCATAAGTGCCGAGTATGGCTGCTGCATCGCTATCAGGATCTGCTAAGTTTCCGCCGCGTGGTTGAGTCGCTACATAAAATGAAACGTTCGCTTTCATGCTGGCAACTGTCATCAACGGACAAATAACTCGTATGTCGGATATCATTCTGGCCAAACCTTCGAGGGTGGCGTTGTATCGTCTGTAAATGAAACGATAATGAAGACAAGATTTGAATTTTGATCGATAAATCGTATCGACGTAAAAATATGAATATTTATTACCTAAGTGCTTCATTCGCTAAACCTATAGTACCAAGTAGAGAGTTACGAACGATCTGTTCTATATGCTTAGAGTCAACATTCAATGAGAGATATTGTTTTGGAGTTCCGGAATGAGCAGTAGTACCTATGATGAGCTTAATAGGTAACTCACTCTTCGTCAAAATCTCACCAACATGTTCCTGCAAGATAGCACCATCTAAAATAAGCCACTCGTGAGTATCATTCCCCGGCAAAATCTCTCCCGTTTTCGGTAGTCCGATAAAATTATGGTGCCACGTATCCGGTACGGCGTTTAGCAAATCATTAGCATCCTTGGTTTGCATGCAATTAGCATCAGTGCATTTAATCGTATTTATATATGTATTGCTCAGTTTTTCAGCCAATTCTAGTTCTTGGTGAGGGAAATTCGCACTGCCGCTTGAGACCCAAACTCGTGAAAAAAGACCTCGAGTTTTTCGTATTCCAATGAGTGTTGTGACTAAAGTACCGCCAGCTCTGTGACCCCAAAGAGTTACGGATGATTTGTTGCCACCGAAATGCTGGATGTTCAATTGGACCCATTGTAATGCAGCTATGATGTCTGAGAGTCCATAATTACCGGATGTTGGTGGATGCGTAGCTTGAGAAAGTGGTGCGGCCGCTAAGAATCCGAAAATTCCCAATCTAATGAAAAAAACAAAAAAAAATTCATTGTTAAACGAACGAAAAAAAGTTAATTTTCTTTTTAATCTTTTTTCTATGATAATAATAAACCGTACCGGAAGTTAGGTCTAACGAAGATCATGTCGCGTACACGAGCAAGCTTTGCCGATGGTTGCATTACACCAGGTGATGATCCATCCAAAGTTTCAGCGCCAATCATGACTACTACCGGTAATGGTGAATCATATCTGACATCTGGCGTAAATACATCAAGATAGAGACAATCTTCGACCCCGTCGTATCTACCGGTAGTTTCATATTGCCAACACATATTTGAGGAATTGTGAGCGAGATAAGTTCCGTTCCAACAGTCTTCGAGCTTACTGAGTGGTTCAGCGAATTGCCATCGACGATTTTCAACCGGTGGTACGGCGTACGGTATCCCACGAAAAGCATATGCACCATCTTCTAAGACTCCTTCAATTGGTCCACATGATGTCACCGCTTCTATATACTTGTCAGTTTTGTAAGATTGGTTAGCGCTTCTTCTTGGTCCAGCACAGGCGACGCATATGATGATAATCACCGAGAGTAGAATACACAATACGGCAGCTTTAAACAAAAAAAAAACCAATTTAAATTGAAACAAATAATATCACATGAAAATGACCATACATACCCAAAGCAAATAAATTTCGCCTCGCAGCACTGATGCAGACAACAAATAAGTGACGTTTCGGAGATTCTGCAATATCGGTGGTGTCGCCATCCAAACGAACTGTTTCCATACCGTCCTCACTTGTTATGGGATTTTTTTCAGTTCCACTATCATCAAGAGTTTCGATACTGGCTAAACCAGCGGTACCAGTTGTTCCTAATTCAGCATCTCCATCCTGCGCAATATCGAAACGAAATCAATGTTCAACCCGTTTAATATACCAAATATCTTATATGTATTTGTGTACCTTGGGAAACGTATTCTGACCGACAAAACTGCTTATGTAAATTCTATTTTTTCCCATTTTAATTAGATCATTGATAAATACTGTAAATCGAAACTAGCAAAAGTTGAATGTATGAATGATACTGTCACGAATAACGGTAGATAAGTCTGATGTGAGCCGAAGAGCTAAGAGTAACTGAGGAAAGAATGAATCAGGTTGCACAAGTGTAATCAACACCTGGACAAGCACGTAGAGTACGGTTTACAAGTACACTCAAAACCCTGCACATTGTATTTACCTTGCACCGAATACGAGGGTAGAAAGAGAAATAAAAAGAGAGTGCTATGTTAATGAACGATTCAAAGGTATAGATGAGACACTGACATGAGAGATAAGGAAGAAAGTAACTACGTATTTATTTTCCTTTTTTTCAGGTGAAAAGATGGTAATGCGAGCGATAACATTTTAAGCTTCAAAGAGTTTTGATATTTTCATTAAAAGCGAAAGTTTTTACTCGAGGTTAATGAAAGAAATGTGTTTGAACTTTTCTTTTGATATGTCCCTTGTGTGTCAAAATGTAGACGGTTTTTTTTTAACCAGTTAGTTATGATTGACGAGTATATAGTCATCATGGTAATATAAAATATTACCACCGGTCACCGGTGGCCTCAACATAAATAATAGATAAAACACATTATACAACGCCGTTTATCAGGTGTAACAAAAAATTTCAACAAAATATCCATCCCATAATAGAAAAAAAATGTAAGCGTGGGAGAGAAATCATGTGAAAAGCTAACTGATTAAAAGTGAACATTTTCAAATTGTCTTATCGATCAAACCACTCGACAACTTCGAATGTAGTTTTCTTCTAAAAACAATCTATATACAAAAAGATGTTCCAGGTAAAATAATGTCCTTCTTATATAAATCAAATAGAATTTCGAATTTATTCTCTTTTCGAAAATATCTCACGTCTTTCTCATTCATGTCTTATCTCTTGCACTTTGAAACAAAACCTAGACTAAAGGCAAAGGAAGAGTTGAAGAAAAAAATAAAAAGAGGATGATAAGAGGACGCGGTTCGAAGAAAAGCTTGTACGTGCCCGAGAGGCTTGAAAAACCTCGTAAGGTTTCGCGAAAGGGTTTACGCTCCGGATGGTTTCATATCCGACAAGCCGCAACACCATGTATTTAGTTTCACTAGATTTTATTTGTCCTCTTCTTCTCTTCTCTTCTCTTCTCTTCTCTTTTTATTCACATATTCAAAAATAATATTTATCGATTAGGATTTAGAAAAAAGACATTCCCCAAGCGACGCACAATTCCCAAAACGTCTTTATTAACATTCTCATAATTATCTTACGTTTTCAGAATTTCGAACCAATGTGCGACCTGTTTACATTTTTCATCGATTTTCTATAAAATCAAAAACTTTACCTTATTCTTTTTTCTAGGAAACACGGAAACCAACGGTAATCTAATAGCATTTAGGATTCCCTTTCGTCCTTCCTTCTCCTTCGATTCCTTAGTCGGCGTTGTTGGTTTTTCAGGAACAGAAGGCGCACTTTGTTCGTTTTCCTTCGTCATAACAACTGTGGTTTCTGTGTCCGCCGATTCGGCAGGTTTACTTTCATCGTCCTACCAAATAACATATCAACAATTTTTTATCTATGATTCAATGAAATATATTTAAAAAATAGTTGGAAAAATAAAAATCAAATTTTTCTTACAATTGAAAACAAAAATTGCTTAATAGCGTTCAGTACTTTTTCTTCGGCGTGTTCGAATCTATGATTCAATGTTAAAAGAAACGCATAATTCAACAACGCTACATTATCTGTTATTGTTTTTCTTTTATTCAAAATTGATAATGGTTTTAAAGACAGTATTATTTAATTAGATAAATATGTAATATAAATTTGTTTTTTATATTAATACTTTTTCCAAGGATTCTATATTTGGCATCATAATCTCGTATAGATAAGCATAAACTTCTTGTGTTCAGAAGGGATACAGATGGTGATTCTATATTTGGTTTTTGAATGTCCTTTCAAGTGGCGTCGCGTGGCCATCGAGTACTCGAGAAAGAGAAAGAGAAAGAGAAAAAAAAAGAAGAAGAAGAAATACGTACACTTAGAAGAGCATGGGAGTTTACGAAATGGCATTGGTAAACCTACCCAGTCAATTATTTTCTTTCAAGATGGAAACGTGTTTTCTTACTGTTATAAGAAAAAGGTTATACTATAAACTACTGTAATTAAATGTATACATAGTAGATATTACATGTTTTGTTATTTTCTAAAACCTATTAATTAATTCTTTCTCGTGTTAGTAAAAATTTCCATCCGAACATTTCTTTTGAGATTTTGTAGTCAATAAGAATAATGACGACAAAAATAAATTCAAAGACGACATGACATTGGCTCCACGAGGACGTTGCCAAATCTCACGTGATACTGCTGCTCAGAAGTTTTTCAATTTGGTTTAAGCGAATTAAAGAAAGAAAATAAAATAAATAAATGTACTCATGAACTTGAATGAGAAGGGTTCGTGATGTCCATTCAATGGTTTCCTTATGGCGCCAGACGAAACTTGCGATAGAGATTTGGATTTGTCTGCACGGAAGGAATTCGATCAAATTATTTTAACTAAATTATATTATTGTATTTTAAAACATCCGTGAATTTTTAATTTGTAACAAATATAATACAAATATTTATCTTGTTTAATTCAAATATTTACAATCCAAATTACAGTCGTACTTTTTTCAACTATGTTCACAACTTAAAAATCTTATAATATTTATCATTTATTTATCATATGCATTGGTTTAATTTTATTCTTAATTAAGCAAACAAGATGTTTAACCAGTTGCATTATAATCGTTTATCACAAATCTTATTTCCGACTTCGTCTGAAGGCTCTTCACATTCATAGTAATGCCGAGGATTTRCTAGTAATGCCTGATTTCCGGCTTTGACAGTAACATATATATGAAGCACTGTGTTCTCTTCAATCAATGCAAGTTTGTGACCCATTACGCACATAAATATAAACAAAGTATTTGTCTTATAAATATTCTATTAATAAAACACTTTTAAAACTTTCTATGAAAAAACAAAAATACATGCATATCTACTCTTCATCAAAGGAAATATCAATTTTCATTAATTTACTTTTTATCTGTGCTCCACGTTCTTTATTTTTTTTCTCTTTACTTCTTCTTTTTGTGATACTGAATTTGGATCAGACCATGATTCGTTTCTTATTTCGAGCAGCTGTTGCTGCTGCAAGAAAGGATTTCTTCTCAGCCTCCAAAAAACCTTCCAACATACAATTTCCAACGTTTCAATCCTTTACTTATTCAAGTATACTAATTCAGACTCGAATTTCCAAGACTGTTGTTAGCTAGTCGTTCCTAGAATCGTTTCGTTACTACACTAGAGAAAAAGAGAGAGAGAGAGAGAGAGAGAGAGAGAAATCTTTGATTGAGTGATTATAGGTCTGTGTATCCTCAGTTTCTCGATTGAATTCTCATCCGATTATTGAAAAGTGTTCGGTTGTAGTCTAGCACTGGAAAAAGATCATCACTTTTCCAATAATGATTTTTATCCAGTCATCTCGTTCTTATTTTCTCGATTCGAAACTCAATTCTAAACTCGATTCCATCAGTCTATCTTCACGAGTAATCCTTGTTTCAAGTACAATACTATAATAATCTCGATTAGATTGAAAAAAAATAATTCCTTTTAAGGAGGGGTCACCGATCACTGTCCAAGATCGATAAATTCTAACGTAAGTTCAAGTTAAATCGCTGGATCGTGTTAGTTTTTTTTTTTTACAGAAAATTTAATATTGGCTTGATTTTCATTAAGCAATGAACATTATCATTATTATTCTTATTTTTTTTTGTTCAGTATAAACGTCCTCGTTACTAGGTTTTCATCGTGAAGAACCTGTTCCTAAAATGCTTAACCACTACGCCTCGTTGCTCTTCTTTAGTAGTGTTCGAACTCTTTAGTAGGTTCTTCTGAGTGCCACTTCGATACTGTCTAGTCATCTTCTTGCCGGTAACTATTTTTTCACCCTCTCTTTCTTAATTTTTTTTTTCTCTTATTCCCGAAATAAGTACTGTGTATATTATATGTACACGATACGTAACTCGTTTCTTTCTTTTTATCTACCTTTCTCTTTTTCAATATTCCAAGTACCACGCCTAGGCACGTATTCTATGTACTTCTGATATGTGTATGTGTACATGGACACATTGACAAGAGTATGCATGTGTGCCGCGTTGTACTTGACTATGGCTCCTGATCATTCGCAACGCTCTTGCACATTTCGATTAGTTCTCGTCTGGGTGCCCATTTATTCTCTTTTATCCTACAATTGCCACCGATGCTTGTAATAAATAAGACAAATTTCTCTTATACTATATCGTCTCAAAAGTTTATTACCAAGTTTCTTTTTTTTCTCATGTCAATCATTTTACGTGCAGAATATTCTTTATTATATGTTATTTTTTTACTAAAAATGAATAACGTACAGCGTAGAACATAAATATATGAGAAAAATGAATCGTATATTGTTCAATAAAATAACAAATATTGTGTGTGTGTAAAACTTTTATTTTTTCATTTTACTTATATAAAAAAATAAAGAGAATAACAAATTTGAAAATTTTATATAAATGTATAAACTTGTTTAAAAGTTCCTTCATGAAATTGAAATGACGATTAAAATATAGTCGAGAAGAGATCTTTCAGATAGTTCAGATTCATTAAGTGGTCATCTTTAATTAAACGTAATTCAGATTAGTTACACCAGGGGGTTTTTTTCATCGTCCAACATAGGAGGACATTATAGTGCAGTTTAGATTGACAAAAAGAACCTTTTCTTTTATCTTCTGTAACCCTTGGCATGGCATAAGCAATGATTAACGTCGATTTCATTTAATAGCCCCCTACCCCTCTTATTTTTCTTTTCTTATTTTATTAGACCTATTCTCACTAGCATTTGAAAAGGTTCAACAAACAGAGCGACCTGTTGAATGAACTTTCGTTCATTTCTTATTTCCTTTCTAACATTTTATTCGATGGCGATACGCATTATGTTTAGAGAAAGATATAACTCGAAGGAAAAGTAACTAAAGTGGTATACTCCGAATTTGAGTCTACTGAGAATGTATTGAAAACGTGTGCAATTACGCGAAAAGATAAAAACATTGTTTGGATAAAAGAAGAAAATACCAAAGACTTTAACGTTTTCGACTCAATAATGAAAGTTTCTAAAATTATTGTCAAATTTGAAAGAAAATAAGGAAAGATCATTTTACCAAGAAAAGGAGGTGGGAGGGGGGCTGAAGGGGAAAGGAAATACGTATAGATCTTGAAATAACCGATAAGTATTATCTTTTAATGAAGTTCACTTCCTATTCCATCAAGGGACATTTTTAAGGGCAATTTAATTTAGATAAAATTAAAATAGTTTCAATAAAATGGGACGTTTAAATGAAATTTTGATGAAATAGCTAAAGAGAGAAGAAAAAAGGGTAGAGATAGTGCTGCCACCAAAGGGATTTGTGGCAAGAAACAGAAGCCGTTCGGTGAGCATCCTCTTTCTTTCTCTCTTTCTCTTTCTCTTTCTCTTTCTCTTTCTCTCTCTCTCTCTCTAGAGCAAGAGAAATCGATATCAGACACAACTTTCACCCCTCTTTCTTTTCATCGAGCCACCATTGTCGTCATGCTACCATAACACTGTAGCAACCACCGCCACGAAATTTCTATGTTAAAACGCATTGCTAACATTCCTGTTAAAACAATTGTACTACCTCGAAATGTAAAACGGACATTTCATATTTTCTGCGCCATTGCTGCAATAATACAATTTTTCCGCGTTTATGTTTATATCATCAGATTATAAAATTAAAATTTGGTTTGCCGGGTATTTGGAATAATTTTGTCAACAACGTAAACTAACAATTCATATCTACAAATGAAAAAGAAACTATTGTAATTCCATTAATAAACCAATTTGGATTTTGTTTGATATTTTTGTTGTTCGTAGTTAAGCAAGTTTATCGGCATGTATATAAATTGCATTTTGAAATAATAATTTATTAATAATAATACGTTATTCCTAACATAAATGAATACTATGAATAAAGGAAAGATTGTCAAGAAAACGGCATCACCATTGTTACGACTATTGTGTCAAAAGATTCGAATAATTTAGGCGATAAATTTTGATTGTGTAAATACAGGGCTCCTGGACTACGGTGACACGCATAGCAAGCTGTTTGATACATTCTATCGATGTAAACAGACGCCGATATTGCTGTGTAGGTGAGACGATATAATAGGAGAGAAAGAGAATGCACAATATCACATCATGCTTGGCCATGTGGTGGTGTGCTCTTGGCAGAGGGTTCTGGTTTTGGCCTTCGGCTATTGACCAACCCAAAAAAACAGATCTGCCGGGAAAAAAGGACAGAAAAGAAGAAAACGTAAGGTTCTCGTTAAAGAAAAAGAGAGAGAAAGAGCATAACTAGCATAAGAGGAATATACAGATGACAGAAACAAACTAGTTAATACACTCTTCTTCGTCTATCCATTTAATTGGATAAAAAGGTAAATGAGACTGCGAACAAAAGTAGAGGCTTTTTATTTAAATAATTAAAACTGAAAAGATTGATAAACATAACTGTTCCACTCGGATTAATTAGAATCGATAATTCGTGAGTGAAAAAAAAGAAGTTCGTATGGCATGAAAAAACGAAATAAAATGAGCGCTTCCGGTTCCTGCACCAGGTGGTACATTATTAAAGTAGTACAATAAAAATGGTCTCTTTCCTGTTCGAGACATGCACACGTACCAACAACCAAGAGACTGGAGCGTGAAAATCATTGTTAAGTTCATGATAATCGTGTCTCTAATGATCAAGTATATTTATATATGCATTTATATGTTTATTCATAATTGTATAACATAAAATTGACTAAATCACATAAAAAATATTTAAAAATATCCTTTGAGGAAATTAATCATAAAAAATGGTAGAATTATTTAAGAATCTAATGTGTTCGTTCCGGAAGTGTAGAATCAATGTTAGAAATTAATCACCCGTGAGAACACACCTAGCGTTTACCTAAACCCATGACCCCATCTTTTTTGTGGGCCATAGTTAGAATTATAGGTGCAACAAATAGGTGATTTTATCTTGAATCTATGTTAATGTTGCAAATAAGAAACAATTAAATATTTAACAAATTCTATTAAACCAAATCTAATCGTAAATATTTTCTTTAATTAAATCAATGAAAATTCATTTCCTATTTTTATTCGTTACATTATATTAACTATGAAAAAAAAAGAAAAAAAAAAAAAAAGGAAAATATGTTATAGCTTAAAGATGTGTCTACGAGTCTTCATAAATCATCTCCTCCCTCGACTTTAGACTAACAAGTTTACATGCAAACCTTTTTTTTTTTTTTTCTATACATCTAAATCTACGAGTTGAGAATAAAAGAAGCGTAGGAAGAAGCAAGCGTGCGTCTGGGAGATAGAAAAAATTCATAGCAGGAGAAAGCTATGAAACGTGAAAAATAATATTTTGACTAGTAGAACCCATATTGAGAACAGCTCTTCTTCTTGTTCCAACGTGTTTATCAGCGTTAATTGATTAATCTTTCACACCATTTATGATTTTTCACGTCAGTTTTTAACCGTACTCGCGTTTCTTCAGCTGCTCTCAACAAAATCAACACGAGTTCAACGAGCTTTAATTAAATATAACACGTGTGTCGATATTTAATTTAAAAATTTCTTTAATATTTGTATTAATTTTCTATTTTGTTGAGAATATTATAAAATTTAGTCTATTCGTCAGTTAGTTCATAGGCTTGCTGGTTCGATATACGACATACAACGGTTATATACATCCAACGGTTTTTCAAATCTCCCCTCAGAACAACGAAAAGAGGAAAACACATTTTCCCGTCCCCAAGCTAATCTCATTTACACTCGAATAATCCGAGATCAGGAGGCATCAACAGGCATAAGCAAATATGTGATTTGTATACCAACGATTCCGAATTTAGTAGCACAAATGTACGAAACATATGGAAACAGTCGGGAGTTGAAGAATTTTGTATATATGGGTATTTCCATTTGAACGACTCCATTATATTTGACTTACCATATTGTGGCGAACCATAGCTATCTAGAATACTTAAACCACCGTAATTCGATAAATCAGAAATCGTAAATACGCAAGGAATTAGTAAATATTAAGTTCACCGATCTAATGTAAAATATTGTTGGTATTTCGAAAGAGTTACGATTCGGAGTAATAGGAGGTGATCATCTACCCAAGAAGTTTATTTGCCAATTAAGAGAGTAATAAGACGAGTTAAGGGCAATTGGAGAAATTAGTCGCGTGCAATGGCTCGGGGAGACTGTCGTATTGTCACTAGTCTGGGAATTTCAAAAGAGACGCAACGAGAAGAGAGTGAACAAAACGAAGTTACAAAAAAAAAAAAAGAAAGAAAAGACATCTCACGAAAAAAGAGATGAGCTTCGTTAAATTTTCCATGGACGCGAAGAAGACCAGTTACGTCTCTCTTTGACACGCACACACCTAGAAATGATTTTATTATACTCCTAGTCTCTATGTTTTTCTCTTCCACAGAAAGCTATATATCTTTTGTTGAAGATATATATTCACTCCTCGGTATGCGTAGACCTAAATCTTCGTGCTCCTTAGATCGACTAAATTTGTCACCTTTATCTAAGCAAATATTTTTATGTATTCTTGGGGAAAGTTCTTGGGGATTTCTAATCTAATACGTTCACTGTTCAAATTTTATCATATTTTAATAACATTTTTTATTACTCTCTTATTTTTGTTCTTTCTTCTTTTTTCTTAGGAAAATTTCGTTTTCATATTTTTAAATGTAATTTTCAATCTCTCTCCCAAATGATAAACCAGAATAATTTACTTTTGAAGCTTTTAATTAATTGTAAAAGTCGAAACAAAAACACGTACGAGTTATATTTTACGTGAATTTTCTAGTTTTACAATTAGCATATTACATAAAAAGAAAAAAGGCCGCACATGTCTTTGAATTTATTGAAGCATTTTTTGTAAAAAACAAGTGCTTCTTATTATCGTACAAATGTAATTTATTGCACAAGTTACGATCTTCAATAAAGAAATAGAAAAGTTTAATTTTTCAATTGCAAAAAAACAAATTATTGGAGAAAAGAGAAAGCAAACGAAAAAATATTTATTCTCGAAAAAGTAACTTTATAAACATTTTTTTAAAGATTAACATAAAAGACAAGAAAAAAATAGTAGACAAGAATAATAGAAAAAAGCGGACGTACGTTAAGAAAAATTTCTACGAACGTCAAAAAAATGTCGGACAAAAATGAAAAAGAAAAGTATCTTCGACAATGTAAATGAATATTAAAAAAAACAAAGAATTAAGTTAAATTATTTCGAAAGCGTAAAGCAAAATGAAATAGAATTAATAACGGTTCGACGAAATTTCTTAAAAGATGACAGATTTTCTCCATAAATGAGTTATTTGAGATAACTTGTGAACTGTGGCAGCTAAAAAGTGAAATTAACCGAGAACATTATTCATTGAAAATAAAGGAAATCGTGTCCGAATATTTCTTTCAACAAATTCGAAAGTATACTCTTTGAACAATAAAAAGAGAGAATAAAAATAAAAATAAAATAAAATAAAAGTGAAAATGTGTCGTATACTTCATATAAGAAAGTTGAGTTCCTTTCAAAAAGACACACAATGAAATATTTGATTATAAAATATTTGTATGTGTGAAAATGATTAAATTTATGACGAAAGGAAAAGAAATTCTTTTGTAAATAAAATTTATCAGAAGAAGCATTGAAGTGTTCCAAATTTGAACATTGACAACGAAAAGGTATATCAAAAAATGTTATTTTCTTAAGCTTGTAAATCGACGATCAATCCGATATCAGTCTATTATTATGTGTTTTTTAACGTTGCTATGGAAACCCTTTAGCAAGGTAAACTTGGCTTCGAAGAAGGGAAACGCTACCCTCATGGTGCGTTCACGAAGGGTGCTTGCAACCCCGTAACGATTTCCTTTTTCAACGTTAAACCGCATGACGTCAAACGGTGCACCTGGCATCGACGAAGAACTCATTTAAAGGACGATTAATGAACAAAAAACAAAAGAAAATTGCGTACGCCTGAAAAAGGATCATTAAGAGAATTATTGGATTATTGTTTGACATTTCTATCTACCCATAATTGTTCATAAACACAATAGTAATATTATTAAATTAATTGATAATTATATTTATAAGTCTTTTAATGGAATAATTTTGGATATTACTGTTAAGTGGAGTTTCAATTTACCTTGCAAGGTTCCTTGCTCTTGGTACGACAAAATCCTGGCATCTTGATACCACCGATAGGTATCTTCTTCTTCGGCTTATGCTCCTCAGATTCTAAATCAGGTACAGGTGCAGCACCGGTATGTTTAGTGTTCTCAGCGTTCAACATCTTCTCCCTCTCCTCCTCGGCGATTTCCTTTTTGTCCATACTTTTATCTTTATCCTGATCTGCTCGGCTCATCGTTCACCACTGAATAAACATAATACCATTGAATAGGGTATTCAGAAAATATTTATATTCGAATCAAACATTCTAACACAATCAATTAAATAACTATCTACATTTTATTATTATTTCATTATATGTAGTAATTAATATTATTTATTATTACAAAATTAGCTTTAAAAATACTGTCCAATAAAAATTCAAGATAATAGGATCTTGTATTTTAATGTTGAAATCAAACTAGAAATATACTTTTTGTCATCAATAAACAAATGAAAAAGTACGTTATATCATTCTTATTACATCCTCCAGTCTTGTTTAGTTAGAAGACCAAGAGAATGTATTGTTATTATTAAATAATTTAATAAGCGTACATTACGCGTTTTTGTCCGGCAAAACGAATCGTCGTGGTTCTTCAATCAACCAAATTTAATTACATTTCCTGCATCTGATTGGAACCAATTTACTGTTGCAATTTATAACTCTTATTAAACTATATATGTGTCATTATTCGGAAACAGTAACAATATTACTATATGAGATAAATATAGAACAAATACAAACAGATGTTCAAAGAAAATAAATCAAATCAGATAAAAATAAGAAACTTGTTTTTTAACTTCGACACTCTTATAATTATTTGTTATGAAATAGAGAATACAATTTTTCTTATGTATGTAGTAAATTTTCAGTCAATAGACTCTGCAGGAATATGTGTAGATAGAACGCGAGTTCGAGGACCGATAGCACACAATCGATCGATTTACGTCTGGACGTCTCGACGCGCCTAATATACACACCTCTATACTCTATACCTTTTACAAATAATGTGATTTTCTCCATCGTAATATTTCGAAAATATCTATCAATTACATTACTAACGTACAAGCATATCAACACCGGTAATTATATCAGTTAACTAATTGTAAGTCATAACAATTAGAAAAATGGATTTCATGATTTATTTTATTTTATAATTATTTATATTACAAAATAAAACCTACAATCAAACATTTTGTTGGTCATTTATGTATATTTTATATTTTTATTTATTTATTTATTTAAAATATACTCAACACTTTACAGCCACAAATTGGACTTGATTTACAATCTCCTAATTATGCATTTAAGCCTATATTTATTTTATACTACAATTATTAATATTCTATAATAAATTGTAAAACCAATGTTATCGTTTTGTAATTTTTAAACTTAATCCACAACTAACCGACAAATATATTTTTTCAAGTACACGGTTTTAGGATTGAAAAGAACATTTTTACAAGGACCTTCTACGAATTTGTATACAGGTATTTGCCTCTATCTATACAAATAGAATAACAATTTTGCAGGTAACGAATTTCTACCATTGGAAAAGAAGGAAGGAAGAAAGAAAGAACGAACAAAGAAAACGGTTGAAGATATAATTTCTAACAGGTACTTTTGAACAAGGTTTCAGATTCTACCTTTCTCTACAGGGAATAACAGTATGAAATTCTTCCAATCGAAAGATGCAATGTGAAAAAAATACCTTTGTTATTTGAGAAAAAAAAGCGACGAGAACTATTTCGATTGCTTTTAATACTCTAACATTTCAGTAAACCTGATGAAATCAAGCAATCGAGAAAAATTTTATCTTTCGTTTAATTGAAAATAAGAATTTAACTGCATGATATTGGAATAATTCGTTTCAAAATTCAATATTTTTTTTTTTGGAGTATCATACACAAAAATGTATAAATTAAGTAACGAGTATTATAATTTTATACTAATTAGAAAAATTCATTTTGCTGGAATTTCGCAAATGTGTTTTTTAGTTAAAAAAAAAAAATAATAAAACTTTCTTACCTCTTTCAAGTAATATTCGATAGAGATGATCATCCAACTTCGCACTATAATTTACGTACGCGAGTTAAGACTAACTATAATTTTTTACAATGAATTTCTTGTTATTTTTCTTCGATTTATAATAATGACAAATCGATGCAAAGAAAAAAAAGGATATATATATATATATTATTTAGAAATAGAATTTCTTATCGTTAAAGTAACGCGACCTAAAGTCTTAAAAGGGTTAAATAAAGAAAATANTATATATATATATATATATATATATAGAGAGAGAGAGAGAGAGAGAGAGAGAATGAGAAAAAGAGTAAGGGTTCCAAATAATACAGTACGATAAAATTATCGAAAATTTTCTCTACATACTACACACTCGCGACAATGGTAAGCGCACAACTGAACATTCATAGACAACGGAAGAAACGGAAGCGTTGTAAAAGAAGCGCGCTGAGGTATCAGCCAACCAGAAACTCGAATTATTTATGATTGACTTAAAATCCGCTAGTGGCGCTACCACATCAATTTTATCGGTTTCGCGCGCATGTCTTCAATATTTTATTTTTACAAAATTATATCCAAAAGAAATGATATTTTATATATAGAAATACAGCGTACTTTCTAAAAACCAAGTCCTTTACACAAATCTGTATAGATTCTAGCATTAAATTTAATCTTATTTCAAAGCAATATTTAATTTTCTCTTCTTAATTCTATATCATAAAAAAATAAAGAAGCATCCCCTGACCTCTGTCGGAAAAGTGAAAAAATAATATACGAAAAATGGGCGTAATTTTTGGAATAATTGATATTTTATTATTATTGTAACTGTAAAATATTAAATTATAATTATGATTTTTATACCATATGAACGATGACATTATTTTAATTAAACTATCACGAAAGGTAATAAAAATCAATATTATGCTTGTCGCTTGTTAAACAATAAACTGTAATGAAAGTTTAATTCTCGAAATCAAAAAACAAAGAACTAAAATTGTATCCGTTTATTTTTTTATAAATACTTCCTATAAATATTGCCAAATTTACTTAAATATAAAAAGATAAATTACATTTTCCTTTTTACAACAATTTTATATACGTCTACATCAACAAAAATTCATTTTTAAATTGATTGTTGGTTATTCATTTGCTGGCGTGATATTTCTAAAATTAATTTTTACCTCGTTTTTTAAATATATTAAATTACCATATATATATATATATATATATATATATTTATATTCACCTTTAAATAAATCTCTGTAATTTAATAAAAAAAATATTCACAATATCTATAGTTCGAATTAGATAAAAAAGTTATCAAAAGTCTAGAAAAAAGTCTGTGGTTTTCAATAAGCGCTGCAGTCTCCTCAATTCATTTCGTATTCGCGTCAGTTCATATGCACTGACATAATGACAAGCAATTGTTTTTATTGTCAGAATGATAATATGAAATTGTGAAGATATCGAAAACGCGTATCCGCGCGAACGGGACTATACTTACAATTAATTGGTGAGTATCATAAACATCCAATGAAATGTGAAAATTTCCTATCTTTGTGATTTTTCATTCAACAAAGATGATATTCTTCTATGTCAAATGTTCGCTTGCGATTATAGGTTATGTGAGTCCGAAATTAATTCTGTTTACGCACAAAGTGGCGGATACAATGGGACAGGGAACAGAAACATGTACCGACAGACCTACTGAAGTTAGTGTTATTAGATTTGTATCTAGAAATCATACGATTGAAGAAATTGCACCAAAAAAGGTAAATTTTACTTACTGTCTCTTCTCGAGCAAGTTCAATGACCCTTAAGTCAAAACAATTTACGTTCGGATTGTTTTGTCAATGAATGTGATTTACTGTAATATACATACATATAAATAATATAATATAATTTGTATACTTTTATACATGAATTTTATTAAAAATAAAACTATTTTTAAGAACAAAAGAGTTTTGATAATATTTACAGGAAGTATATACATGCAAACAACGGGGTTGTGGAAAAATATTCACCAACCAAGACGAATATAAAACACATGAAGCACTCGAAGCTTTAAAAATTAGATTTATGTAAGTAATTACATTTTTCAAAATATATAATAAATCTTTCTCTGCACATTTTTTTGCTATAAAGAATAATTTTAAATGTTTCATTATTAATTGCTAATTTACTCGATAAATGTGAAAAAATTGATCTTGTTCTCAAATGAAAATAATAATTTATTTTAATTATTATTAATCGTCAGCTGTCGTGAACCAGGATGCGGAGAGGAATTGTCTGACCCTGGTAGTATGTGGCGTCATTATCAAGAATGGCATAACAGCGAAACTAATGTTTTTGCTTGTCCTTATACAAATTGCGGTTCTGTACACACAACTAGTTGTAATCTCGAAGAACACATAGAAAGTTGTCATCGTCAACCTCCTACACTACCAACTGAACCAGAAATAATATGTTTCGAAGGTCCTGATAATGCGATAGAGGAAGATACTACGCAAAATAGTGAGGATGGAAATTACGAGAAAAAAAGAAATGAAAATTTTCCTTTAAATGTAACGGATTACAATAATAAAGGAGATAGTTTTAATAGACACAACAGTACAATATCGCAAACAAAAGATTTTTGTCATGATCAGAATAACATTACTGCCAGTTCGAAGAACGAAGAATATTCTATGAATAATGAATGTTTAAATAGAACTAACAAATTTCCAAAAAATAAGGATTTACTGATAACTAAAGAAAATTTTTTAATCAAATATGATACAGCCCCTTCTAAAACTGGGGAAATAATACCAGTTGAAAATTCTCAAGATAAAAATAATGTGGTATACATCAACGGAGATGTAACCATCACTAAGAATATCAAGGGAGAAGTTAATAATATTAATTTACAAAATCAGGAACATAGAATAGATCTAGGAAATTTAGAGAGAGTGTTTAGAAACGGATTGGAACAGGAAAATTCGAAAATAGAAGATAATGTCATCGAAACTAATAGCAATTGTTCGGACGACGAAGAATATATGCCAAAGAAACAACGTATGTCTCGATATAAACAAGAAATATATAAATGCGATTTTATTGGTTGTGGAAAAAAGTACAAATACTTATCGCATTACCGTCATCATCAAGACAGTCATAAATTAATAACTAATTCTCCTAGCACAAATACCAATAAATGTATTCCAAAAATGAAACAACAAGGAAGGGCTTCCACAATTAGCTTTTTCCTGTAAGAATTAATATCTAAAACAAAATATATATATATATATATATTAATAGATGCATATACATTATATATATTTAATATAATGTTTGTCTGACATGATCTTGTGTATTTGTATTACAATTAGATGCAAGATGCCCGGTTGTGGTGTACAAGTAAATAGTGTTACTGGCCTATGGCAGCATTATCAGGATAATCATGCCAATACAAAGTCTCCGGTGATACAAGCTGCTAAAAATAATGAAGTATTTCGGTAATATCCTACGTTTAAATATTTTCCAAATATTTGTTAAACATTTAAATTCGATTTGACTTATTTTTATTACAGATGCAAAACTCCTGGATGTGAAATAGAATTTAGTACAACGTTAATGTTATATAAACACTTTAATGAAGTTCATTCTAACAGTTCCATCAACAATGCTAATTTAAATACAAAGACTGGTAATGGGAATAGCTTTCATTTTGCGGAAGTATTTCAAGATGATGCTAAAACCCAACAAGGAAACTTTAAGACTGACTTTAAAGCCAACAAGACTAATATTACTTCTAATGATTATATAGAAGGTAACAATGATCGCACATTGTCACCCACAGTTAAGGAAGAATCTCGAGATTGATTGTAGTTCAATTAAAATTTTCGATTGCGACGTTACAAATTTACAAAATTCATTCAATTTTACAGAGAGGATAGTAATATTATTCTCGTCATTGTGAAAATAAAATATCATTCGTATCATATGTAGATCAATACGATATTAAACTCATCGTTATTATATAATTGGTCCGATAAATTTTAAATATAATACCAAGTATATTATGATCTCTGTAAAATATTTTGAATGTGATAACTAATCATCATTAGTATTTCGAAACGATTTAAAAAATAAAAATTGCTTAATAAATTCCACAGCGTGAAGAAAAATAAGAAGAAATAAAGCATTTGTGCAAATTTAAGTCTTAGGCAGGCATTTTTCTAATGTGAAATAAATTTAACGCATAGAAATTCGTCAAGTTCACATCATTCGATATAAGTAATCGATCGCTGTAAACAATATCATCCTTCTGCAGCTATTTACACCTAAGATATAAGACTTCTCACTTTCCATATTAATTTGTACTATTTTATATATTTATCATTTTGATGTAACTTATATTCCGTATAATATTATAGTTCTAATAGAATAACGCATTATAAGTATTGTATAGTGTTTTTATTTGTATAACTTGTATGTTTGAAAATAAAGTGCAATAGTAGATGATAACAAACTTTCTTAATTATTCTTATTATTATTATTATTACGTCCTTAGGATACAAGACACACACAAGTATTTGTAAATATAGAAATATTTATATTTTATATGTTCTTGTATTAGCATATTGGATCATTAAGATGACATCAATGTGATTTTGAAAATAGCAAAAGATTAATCATTTTTAAGGTTATCTAGATAACACCTATGATGTTTTTAGCGTTTGCATTATAATTGTGAGAGGTAGTAGGGGGCTGATGGTATTTTTTATTTGAAATAACATCTATCAAGTTTAAAAAAGATTTCATACTAACATCACATTATTACGCGTTGACGCATGCGCGAGAGATTAACCTTATTTAAAAAAAAATTCGTAACATGGAATCGTAAGATGGTTGCGAAGAGTTGTGGTGAAAGTTATATCTGCGTGGTTTAACGTACGAATAATATACTTTAATTGAATCTTATATAGTTTCGTTTGATTAAAATGTTCTTTAGTTTTCATTAAAATAATTCATTTAAATTACTAGAATGGTTAAGGAGGTAATTGTTTATGTGATTAACCGTTAACGATATAACGAAATTTATTATGTATATGTATATATATATATATATATATGAATGATTTGTTTATAGCTGAAAGTAAAAAAGTCATCTCTTGAACTCGCGTACCGCACCGAACATTATCATGGTAAATAAATATTTTTAACATCAATCGGATTCATTTGTATTTATTTAATGTAATAATAAAAATAATATTATTCATTAAATTTTCTTAATAACTTTGTATATGCTAATAAAACATGATGATTCGAATGATGATAGAAACGCATGTATTTTATATTTTATTACGTTATTTATACAATTCATAATATTATCATATTTATATGCTTAAACTTTGATTTTAGGAATCAAGATTATAGCGGATAGACCAATAACTTGTACTGCATGTGGCAATAAAGTTATTGCTGAAATTGGAAAAATTTTTACCAATCCTGTGATAGGTACTTTGTTGTGCGAAGTAAGACTTTTTAAATGATATCAATTAATCCCTTAGAACTACAATTTAATGCATTGACCAACGTGCCAAAGTTGATGCTATATTTTGTGTTTATTATTTTTGGCTCATAAAATTTGCCAGAGATAGGACTTATTTCTTGTGTTAAAGTTGTAAAGTGTATCATGAGTCTCATGCATTGTTATAATACAAGAGGTTAATATTATATCGTAATGTGTAGTATATGACTGTATTACTTTTAACAATGTTAAATTTGTTTTATTAGAAATGCTGGGACCATTTCAATAACACAAATTTTTCTTTCGATGAAGATAACCTAGATAAGTATTGTCGCTTATGTGCTCATGAAAATAATCTATTCTATTGTGGATCATCTAATTGTAAATTTGCATTTTGCAAAGTAAGTTTCAACATGTATAATATACTTAGTTAATTACAAATAATCAATTTTTCAATAGTCAATTATTTTCCATTATTTCATTTGTAGCGATGCATTAGGAGAAATGCACCTTTCTGTCTTTTGGATATAGAGAAAAAAAATTGGAAATGTTTCATTTGCGAACCTAAACCAGTGTGGGAATTACGAGCAGTTTGCGATTCCATTATGGATTGTCTAGCTAAGTAAATATTTATAATATTCATTAATTAGATTGCATATTTACAATCCTAAAATATTAATTACGAGTAAATTAATCTAATCTTCTGTTTCAGAAGAAGTAAAACAAATTCTATGCAGAACGAATTGAAGAAGCGTGATTCTAGGTTACCGTATCAAAAATATCAGAGTCTACAAGTTAAAAAAATGCAAAAAGCCTTACGATCAATATGTGACAATGAAGAAGAAGATGACGATAATTTTGTAAAAAATAAACCTGTTTACAGCAAGTCCATTAAAAAAGAGGAAAGTAATGTGACAACTAAGGAAAGTAATAAATCTAAAAGACACACTTTAAACCAATTGTGTAGTACAAGTTCGTCGAGTAATTCAAGCGATAATGAAATCATGAAAAAAGAGTCTTCGAAACAAGACAAAGATGTTACAATATCTTCGCCGTACAGTTCTAATTTTGATAGCAAAGAAAACGAATCGATCTCGAGAGTTAAACATAGACGAAGCGCAAGTAAACGAGATAAAACAAACGTTAATAAGATTTCAAACAAAGATGAAACAATTGACTCTAATTCTGAATCCAGTGAAGAAAATACGGATGATAGTAAAAATAAAAATAAGAAACTTCTTAATAGAAGTAACAGAAAAAAATGTTCCATGAAACAGTCTACCAATAAAGAAATTTTAATATCGCAATCTCCTATCGATACTGACTCTAGCTCTGGTAAGGAATTTCAGAGGACTAAATTAGTTCGTAGCAATGTTGACTCGTTACGTAAAATAAATAAAAATGTTCATCAAATTCTATACAAAAAGAATATCATTAATAAACAACAAGGCAAATATTTTAAGTCTAACATAGCAGAAATCTTGGACGAATTGAAACAACAATGTTCGGTATTTGAATTACAAGCCCAGCATATTGAAAAAAAATTTAAAAGGAAGCCCATGTACATGGAAGACGCAGATAAAATTATATATAAATCAAAAAGTGCTATTAATAAAGTAATTACAGAATTCAGTAATTACAAGGAACATTTAATCGATTTTTACAAAACATTTGTATCATCAGTTAAAGAGGAAGAAGAACATGAAAGTTCCGAAGATGATACAACATTAATGAGTAAGAAACCTCATAAAAGAAAATCCAGTGATACAATAGATAAAGATAACAGTCAAAGTATAAAAGATAAAAAAAATATCATATCAGATTGTGATAGTGAAATATTTTCAGAAAATGAATCTATTAAACATGAAGTACCAGCAGTGGAGATAAAAACTAATATTTGTGACAATAAAAGTCCTGGTTCTGAAGAATTGAGAATTAGTGATAATGCATCACCGATATTAGGAGGTAACCAACATAATAGAAAGACTTTGGTTAAATTATCAAATAATGAAGTAATAAAAGATAATATCAATAGTAACAAGTGTATAAAAAATGATGATAACAATTTAACCAAAAACTCGAATGTCACAAAATGTGAGATTCCGGAAACAAAATCTAAAAATATTTCAAATAAACTTCTAACTGCGATACCATCTAATGTTGTTGTTTCTAATCTAACGAATGATTCGTTAAATGATATATTTGACAGCAGTTTGGAATTAAACAATGAATTAAACGAATCTAATACAGCGATAGTAAACGTCCAAGAAAATAAAGATATTCAGGACTTGAATACTGATGAAGGTCGAAAAGAAAGCAATGAAAATTCGAATACATTGAAATGTAATGAACCAAAAGAAAATGTACCATTATCAGATAAAAAAGAACTTCATCTATTGGGAAAAGAAGAACAGAACAAAAAAAGTATATTTCGAAAAAAAACACCAGATATATTTGAATCTAATAAATCTGACAGTAATTCGGACGAAACTGTATTTAATGAATATCCCACTGAAACATTTCATATCGATAAACCTAATGAAAAAATATCAGAAACACTTGCTAAACAAGATTCCAATCAATGCGATTCAGATATTTCTAATATTTCTGATATACCTTTCAATTCAGAAAAAGTATCAGACAAATCAAAAGATCCAATATATTCAATCGACCAAAATAAATCTAACATAACTGAAGAAAAAACAGATACCAATAACGAAAGTGACAGCAGTACAATAGTTTTGTCTAATTTGAATACAACTGTGGAATTAACATCGGATAACGTCGAACAACATAACAATGAAAATTGTATAAAAGAGAGATGCTTTTCTGAAGAAACAAACATATTGGATAGAGAAAATGATGTTATGAATGAAGACAATATTAAAAATGCTCTTTTGGAATCTGACTCAGATGATTCCGTTTCTTCATCAGGCAATAAAGAAATGGAAATTAACATAGAATCTAATAGTAAGGATTTAAATAAGATTCAGTTGACTACATTCGACAACGAAAGTACAAAATCTGACGATTTACTTAAATTGCAAATTCAGATGAATAATAATAAGTCTGAGAAAAAAGAACTAGGGAAAAAACGTAATTACGATTTAGAATCAGACTCATCTGTAGGATCTAGAGTAAAAAGGAGAAGACTTCAATTGAATAAGAATTATTATTACATGAATGATAAGAAATTGAGAATGATATGTCATGTACAATTAAAATTATTAACAGATGATGTTTTAAATCAATATAAAGACGCGTTGGAAGAATCTAAGGAATACCAAAATAATAAGAAGATCAACAGGTACTAATTAATGTTTCTACATATTTTTAATAATATCTCGAGTATGTGTAATGCATCATTCTTGTATTATTATTGTTATTATTATTATTATTATTATTATTATTATTATTATTATTATTATTTTCAAATCAAATCTCTATTTCTGTAATTCTTAATAAATAAATAATTTGCTATTTTATTTTTGATATTACATGTTAGAGCGGTCAGTGAGCCCATGCAGTTTTAAGCGTTTATTTACTTAAAATAAAAAATTCCATAGACTTATTGGCCAATCTAATATAATTTTATTTCAACGATCTTACATAGACTTATAAATTTGGATACACTGGAGAAGTCATATAAAAGAAGTTCAGTTACATCAAAGGAAGATAATCTATCTAAATCTTTACAATCATTAAAAACAAAACAATCATCTATCAAAAAAGAAGAAGATTCATTGTTAGAACATTTGAAGAAGGTACAAGATGGAAGTGCTTCCATAGACATGCAAGACAATTCTGATAATAACGAGCAAAATTTAAATTCACCAATAGAAAATCATTCTGCTCCATTAACAAACGATGATCTCATGTTAGAAGCTGATAAAATTGCTAAAGATTTACTATTAAATTCGTCTGACTCTAATATGGGTAAAACACATTAATTTTATTAATTATTAATTTATTTATAAACTGTCTTATGATTAATTTTAATTAATACAGATGATAGCAAAGAACAAGAACAGTCAAATGTATCAGACAAAGATGAGAAGTCGTTAAAGGAGAAGAATGAAAGTATCGAGAAAAACGAAATTAAAAAAGAAGAGCCTTCTGAAGAAAATAACGAAAGATCATCTACGGAAAAGAAGGTAACTGCATACTCTCAATGTTATTGTAGTAGAATAATTTAAGGGGTTACATGGGTTTACACCGGGAAAAATAGCATTTTTTCAACAATTTTTTTTTATTCAAACTTTTGATAACATTTAAGATACATATTTAATGAACATTTTCTGAAATTTTTGTTAAAAAATATTTAAAACTCGGCCATTGCGACGTATTTTCCGGTGACCCCACCGAAAAAGGGTTTTTCAGTGGAAAAAATAGGGTCTTTTAGTGAATACCTAAAACTAGAAATTGGACGAAGGAAAAAAAGATAATTGAAATTTCGCTACAATTTGCACCACATTTTGGTTTCTTGAAATTAGATGTGATGAAAAAAAAAAAAAAAATCCTTCGTCCAAGTCCTTGTCAATAATATCTTGAAGACGTGTAGCAAATTTCATCAAGATTGGTTAAATAGTTTTCGAGAAATCTTGATAACCGACTTTAAAAAAAGCGTTTAAAGTTTTGAGTGATAATAAAAGAGTCATTTAAGAGTGGAACTTCCCAAGGTTCTATCTCTTAAACTATTACTCCTATCGACTTCAAAATTTAATACAATATTCTAGATAAGTTGTAGAATTTAATAACAATATTTAATAATTGTATAATTATAAAAAAATTATATAATTATAATAATTGTACACAATACAAATAATAAACAAAAAAAAACAAAAACAATTAATTAGGAGAAAAAGCTGAAAAAACGGAGTAAGTGGAGGCGAAATAAAATACTAACAATGAAAATATCTGATAGCGAGTCTGAAAAAGAACAAGAGAAATGGGATAAATCACAAGAGAAACAAAAAGAAAAAGAAGAAGATGACGACAAGTAATGAAATTTCTTATCATTCTTATATGAAAAAATGATATCTTTAAAAATATAAATAATATAAATTTAATTTTAGAGATAACGTTAATGTTAAAAAGACTACTGAACACAAAAGAAAAAAGGCTAGAAGAATTTTTGATTCTGATTCAGATGTAAAAGAAATTTCGGATTCTCTCAGTAATAGTAGTAGTAGTAGTAGTAGTAGTTCGAGTGAAGTTATGATATTAAGTGATTCTGATGACTCCGGTGGAGAAAAGAAGAAAAAGAAAAAGAAACAAAATTCCAAAAAATCATCTGACACTGAATCATCTACTACAGGAAATAAGTAAGTATATGGACAGGCATATTTAACAAGAAATGTATGAAAATTGTTTAAAATCTTATTGTATCTTATTTTTTATATTCTTTCATAATTTTTCAGGCCTAAACCAAAAAGAAGACGGATAAAGAATGTATCGACAGATAGTAATAGTGATAGTGATAAAATGAATAATTCGCAAGGTACGTCGAGTAAAACTGGAAGAAAAAATATTCGCAAAGTTTTGAAAGATAAACAAGTAGCGGATGACACAAAGCAAGCAGCCAAAGAGGAAGAAGAAAGGTTGAAACGTATTATGGAACGTCAAAAACTTGTACGTATTTTTTTTTTTTTTATATCTATGTAAAATATGTGTCGTCCTATTTAAATAATTACTGATATCTCTTGATAATAATTATTTGACGATATGATGAAAGATGCTCTGGTATAAATTATAACATTAATTTTCATGTTTAGTACAATGAGATGTATGAAATACGATTAGCCGGTGAAGAAAAAGTAGATAAATTAGTATTGGATTTTGATCCTGATACAAAGAAAGAACTTATAAGCGTAAATAAGGATTTGGTGAAACGTTTGAAACCGCATCAAGCAGAGGGAATTAAATTTATGTGGGACGCGTGCTTCGAATCTTTGGAAAGAATAAAAACTACTTCTGGATCGGGCTGCATTATAGCGCATTGTATGGGACTTGGAAAGACTCTACAAGTAATTTCTTTATCGCATACTCTTTTAACTCACGAGGAAACTGGAATAAAAACTATCTTAGTAGTTTGTCCTCTTAGTACCGTTCTTAATTGGGTTAATGAATTTGAGATGTGGCTAAAGGATGTAGAGAACGGAGATATCGACACGTTCGAATTAACAAAGTAAGCTTCTTATTTTTAATCATATTTTTTATTATGTATATATAAAATTAAGCTATATATTCTATACTTGTTAATAATAATAATATAATTTAATTGTGTACCTTCTTTTTTCTTTTTTAGATGTAAAAAGAACTTTGAAAGGAAGTATCAGCTTCAAAGTTGGCATCAAAGTGGCGGCGTTTTAATTATTGGATACGAAATGTTTCGCAATCTTACTGGTTCAAATAAAAATATTCGAAAAAACATGAAAGATGCGATATTAAAATGTTTGGTAGATCCTGGTCCAGATCTTATTGTATGTGATGAGGGACATTTATTGAAAAACGAAGATACTGCGCTTAGTAAAAGCATGAAACGAGTTAAAACGCTTCGACGTATTGTTCTCACTGGGACACCATTACAAAATAATTTAATAGAGTGTAAAGATTTATATCTATATAATTTAAAATTATTTAATTTTATTATTTAATAACATAAAGCATACATTTTTCAGATCACTGCATGGTTCAATTCGTTAAGCCTAATCTTTTGGGTACAAAACGAGAATTTTTAAACAGATTTGTGAATCCCATAACAAATGGACAATTTGATAATTCAACAGAATACGATGTTAAATTAATGAAAAAACGTGCTCATGTATTGCACAAATTGTTAAAAGGAAGTATTCAAAGATTTGATTATTCCGTATTAACACCCTTTTTACCGCCTAAACAAGAATATGTTATTTTTGTAAGACTCACGGATGTACAGATCAAATTGTATCAATATTATTTGGATAATTTGACAAGGTACATCAATATCGATTAACACAAATATATTGTAGTAATACTTAGAAAGATATAATTCTAGTCCAACTACTTTGAAGTAACTTGAATAATTTTATTTTTGTTAGACATTTTAGTGGTATGAAAGGTACACTATTCGCAGATTTTCAAGCACTGCAAAGAATATGGACTCATCCAATAGTTTTGCGATTAAATTCGGAGAAAATTGAGAAGGTTAATGAAAAAAAAAGATATACCAGTGATTCGGAAGGATCATTAAAAAACTTCATTGTCTCAGGCGACGACGAAGAGACAACTAGTAGCAACAGTAGCGACAGCGATATTCAATCCATCCATTCCTCATCGCCTATTCGCAAACGAAGAACTCGAAATAATGGTTTGAATAAGTTTTTTATACAAAATTATTATGTAGTATTTTTGTTTAATGTAATTATTTCACTTTCTTTTTTCAAGAAATTGATTCAGAGCCAGAATTAGTGGAAGTATTACCAGAAAAAGAAGAAGAATGGTGGTCACAATTTGTACAGCCTGAACACTTCGAAGATATGAGGATTTCTACCAAACTAGTTCTATTATTTGGAATTTTAAAAGAATGTGAAAAAATTGGCGACAAAGTGTAAGTTCGTAGTATAACTTTTATTTCAAAGATGTCATATTCATAATCATATATTTTTAGATTGGTGTTTTCTCAGTCGTTATATTCTTTAACGTTGATCGAACAGTTCCTTGCTCAAATAGATGAAGCAGAACAAAACAATAAGATATTAGAGAGACTAGAAGGGCACACTGGAAGTTGGTCTCTAGGTTTAGATTATTTCAGATTAGATGGTCAGACTTCTGCAGAAAATAGAAATATTTGGTGTAAAATATTTAATAAACCCAGCAATACAAGGGCAAGATTATTTCTCATATCAACGCGTGCAGGTGGTTTGGGTATAAATTTAACAGCTGCTAATAGAGTTATTATATTCGACGCAAGTTGGAACCCGTCGCACGATATTCAAAGTATATTCAGAGTATACAGGTATTATTATTTCCAAATATTTAATTAAAATAATATTAATCCTATAATTTTATAGTTTTATATTTGAAACGTAGATTTGGTCAAAAAAAACCTTGTTACGTTTATCGATTTCTCGCGTCGGGTACGATGGAAGAAAAGATATATAATCGCCAAGTAACAAAATTATCACTTTCCTGCCGTGTCGTTGACGAGCAACAAATAGAACGACATTATAGCCATAACGCTCTTAACGAATTGTATAAATTCGAGCCACATACGAATATCAATACCCAAACTTTAAATTTACCTAAGGATAGATTGTTGGCAGAAATATTTTTAAAATACAAGGATTTAGTTGAAAATTATCACGAGCATGATTCCTTATTGGAAAATAAGGTAAAATTATAATGGTTGCATAAAATCGACTATTTAACTTTTAATATTATTTTTAACGTATATTTTTTAAGGCTGACGAAGAATTAGATGAAGAGGAAAGGAAACAGGCTTGGTTAGAATACGAAGAAGAAAAAGAAAGGCCAAATATTAATGCAACTACGGCGGCTTATCAAAATAATATTTTGTTGCAACAATACAATAATATGATCGCTAATCTTAATCGTCAGAATATGGCAATAAATAATACTATGCAGTTTAGTGATTATGAAAATCTACAAAAACTTATTGAGAAAGATGTAAGTGATAAACAATTAAATATATTATATTTTTTGATAAATATCATATATAGTCGATATATTGATATTAAATGAAATTTCAGTATCCTAATGCAACACCTGAACAACGTAAATTTATGACTACTAAAGCCTTGGTGGATATGTATAATTATTGGGAACAACAGGCTACGGTTCAACCTAACAGAAATTCTCTTCTTGCACAGGTGTGTGTTTATGTGCATATGTGTACATCTATATGTTTGTAAGATCATTTTTTAAATAATATTTTTGTAATAAATGCTTTAAAATTATAATTGAATCAACAGAATATGCAAAAGAACATACAACAGAAAACTACTACATTGGGAACAACTAATATATCTGCAGCAGTAAGTTATTTTTTTTTTTAATTTTATTATTATTATTATTGAAATATAAAAGTTAACTTATAAGGTCAAAATCAATAAGTTCTGAATCAAGTAGAATCACATTTTACTTGAATTTGTTCTTATTGCTTTTATAGATGAACCAGAATTTGTTGAGACAACATTTGCTACAAAATCAACAAATAGTATATAATTCTAACAACACATATACAAACGTATCTAATCCACAATTAAAGGGTGGAATTAGAGTAATCAATCAATATGTTTATCCAAAACCTTCAACCAGTAATGTTCAACCTAGGAATGAGATTACGCAGGTAACAAATTTAATATGAACTTTCAATGAAATCTATTTTGTGTGATCGATATTTTTATAAAATTATATAGATTACGATAGAACCAGCAAAAGCAACCGAAACGTCTGCTAAAACCTCAACTATTCCAACAAATAAGGAACAAGAAGAATGATCTTTAAAATAATATCTTATAACTGTCTTTCTGATTAGCTAAACTATATTCTTCAGTATGAATAGCAAAGAATCAAACTAATTGTTTTTATTTAGTTTATTCACGCTAATATAAAAATCAATCGTCTTTAGATCGATGAAAATGAAAAAAAAAGAAATCATCTGAATGTGTTTTATATAATAATGTACGAAAGCGAGTGGAATTTTCTTATTCTAAAGATTATTGTAATTATTCGCTAATTAATTGACTATATAAGAATTATTAAATAATTAATGTCCACTTTCATATACTCTGTATAAATGAAAACATTAATTGAATGGAATAAAAAGTTTGATTCTTTGAGTAGAATCTTTATAATGGAAAACTGTCATTATATTAATGAATTATTTTTCTTTTATTTTCTTTTTTTTTAATTGTTTTTTTATTATCAAGCATATTTTTATTTGTAAAAGTATTACATGCAGACAAACATAATTTTATAAATATAAAGTTATGATTATATATATAATTCAATACTACAAACATATATATATTGCATGAAACGAGTGATAGTTTTCTAAATGGTTGTGTCAATGAAATAAATTAGATTTTTAGTTATTCCGTACAAATTTAGTTTATTTGATTGATTTTAGCAACCTAGCACGTTACATTAAAAATCATTGTTTTACGTATTTCATTTAAGTATTGTACTAGATATAATTCTATTAGATTATGTTTATTTTACGAAATATACACAAGCATATGTTATATTTATTCTAATTTCTATTTAATGCAAAGCAAGAAAAAAAGGGTAATTATTTTTGAATCTTTTTCTTAAGATATTTTAGAGGTATATATATATAAAAATTATTTTTTTTTATTGCGTGTAATCCGGTAAGGCTTTTCTCCAACCATCTTTAAGCAAAGTTCTTAATTCAATTTTTTTTTTTAGAAAGTTTGGAAATGTCGCTAAATTGAAATACTCTGCTGAATCATCATTGTGATTATATAATTCTTCGCTAATTATTATTTTCCAATTGACTGTTTTGTTTCTGGATATAAATGGTATCCAAGCAGTATATCTGTACTCACGTGATTTCAAACTGTATCCCATTATAGTTATTTCTTTCAAATATGGTTCATCACTGTTGGGATGTAATGTAGGTTCTATACCTGGTCTTGGATATTGACTGAATGCTGCTTTCTTCCATGATATTGTCTTAAATTACCAATAAAATTATAATAAAACTATCATTTATGGATAACACATGATACAATCCATCCTTACTTTTTTATCCAAAACAGCTCTGATAAGTGGTAAAAGACTAACTCCTTCTGTGCACACTGATGAATCTATTTTATTATTGTTATACCTGTTTTCTATGTTTGAACAAATTGGTATTGGAATTCTTGCTAATTCAGCAATTGTAGGAAAAATATCAACCAGTTCTACAATGGCATCTAAAAAAAATCAGAACTTGTTTTATATTTGTAATACTTTTTATTAATATTATTTCAATAAAGTATTTCTCTAAATTACCTGTTTTCGTGTAAGTATCTGTATATTGTAAAAATGTATCTTCTTTTTCTTTAGTCAAAGAAGTCTTTATATTTGTATATCCTTTATATTGAAATATAAATTTATCAGCTGTATTAACGTCATTTTCGGTAAAAAGTTCTTTTGTTTTCTTAAATAAATATAATGTTCTAATAAAAAATTTATAAATATAATAAGCAAAATAAGATAACAACAATGTAAAAAATTGTAATGTACAATGATACTGATACAAATTATACCGACAGATCGATATAACAATTGAGAAACGCTGCCGATAATATTATCGACTGTGATAAACGTAAAAAAAATTTCGATTTAATAAACAAAATACATATAAAAATTATATACCTTAAATGTCGTATAAGGTATCGATATTATTAAAGGTACATGTACTGAAACGTCAAAGTTACTATATTTGCCCCATTCTGCATGCTCTCCTAAAGACCAGCCTGTATAATAACAGATTATTATAGAATATTTTTAATTTGCATCTCTAATACACAGTTTAACATTGTTTACCATGATCAGAAGTTAATATAATCACAGTTTTTTGCAAAATCTTAGAAATATGCAATTGATAAATAAGTTTGCCAATAATGTGATCGATATAAGACACAGCTCCATAATATGATTGTATTATTAGTTTGGCAAAATTTTCTAAATAACAAATAATAAATATTTTTAATTTTAATTAATATATTTAGAATGAAAAAATTTCTATAATACCTGGTATTTTTTCCCATGGAAATTTAAGACGTAACTTTTGTATATCTTTTCTTTTACGAAGATCTATCCATGGATTATATGAAACGCTATCAATATTATGTGGCCAAGCATATGGCTTAGGAACTTCAAACTTTTCTAATGGATGATATTCTGTAAATGTTTTTAATATTATTTATTTATCTGATATAAAATTCCATTTTAAAATCATATTTTGAATGCATTTTTCTGTATATGCAAATAATATACAAATACATTTTTTACTTAGGTATTTTTTAGGATATTTTAAAGGAATATGTGGTTTTTGAAACCCAACAGCTAAAAAAAATGGCTTAGCATCATTTTTATGTATTTTTAGGTATCTCTTAGCTTTCTTCAATATTTCTATGTCTGGCAATGTTTGATTTGGCATGAATTTTATATCCACAGGGCACACCTAAAAAAAATACATTAAAATACTATAAATAAAAATCGTAAAATAATGAAATTTAATTAATAGATAAAATGTATGACATGTACAAGATTTTCTGCAGGAAATGAATTTTTGGTAATTTTACACACAGGTGCATCCTTATAACGATTTGTATAAGGATGAAAAGGTTTTTCGCTCCAAGAATAAGGACTATCATCAGAATAGTTAGAACTTATACCTACGAATGTTATGATTAAATATATAAATTTGTATAATAAGCTTTCATCAACAGAACCTTAATTTTACCTGGATGAAATATTTTCCCTATTGACATAGTATTGTATCCATTATTTTTTAAATATTCTGGTAACGTTGTAAAATTACCAACTGTATCTCTCCAATAGCTATAAAAATCATACAACTGTAGTGTATCCGGTCTTCTACTTGTTAATATTGAATTTCTACTAGGCGCACATAAAGCTTGCTAAAATTAAATACAATCATTTAATATAGCAAAAATTGAGAATTACTCATTTTGATGAAAAAATATTTCATCTAACCTGTGCGTAAGTTTGAGAGAAAATTATACCTTGTTTTGCTAAGCGATCTATATTTGGTGTATGTGAATTGTGATCCCCGTAACATCCCAAAGTTGTTCTTAAATCATCTACTATTATTAAAAGAAAATTTGGCTTTGCAACACTACTACATGATAACGTAATTAACCAAAATAAATGGAGCAACATTGATAGCATTATTTATTAAAATATTTAAGATTTTATTTGTATATATTAATTATATATATTTGCTTTCTACTTTGAATTATACGATTTTAAATATTATTATATTTCTAAATATTTCATGTATATGGTATTTTCGCGTAATTGCAAATATGCACGAAATTATATTTGAATAAACTTTTCACAAGAAAGTTCATTTCTCTTGTGCATTTTATTTTGAAATATTTGAAATATTCATGTAACTCTTATTTAGTTCATTTTGAATAATATAGAGGTATTTATTTAATTGATGCAATTAATAATTATTTACAATTTCATTGATACAATCGATTTATCAATACAATTATCGATTGAGTTAAATCGTTCACAATATACTTTTATTAATTTCGTCGATAATATTTGCAGTCGATAATGTAGAAAATTACAAGATTGATAAATTATTAAAATATATTTAAATACTTACACCGCGTTCATCTTTATATGAAATAACATCAAATTTGCAAAAATATTCGATTAATTATAATTAGAAAAAAATATAATTATTTTGTAAAATTAGTAATACTAATCGTTAATAAGTTTAAGCGATAAAAAATGTTTATTTATGATTTTTTATATGATAAATACCATTAACGAAAATTGACTGTGTCATGATGATTTTTCGATAAATCTTTTTTTTAATCTCGTATAGATGTATTTACTTATTTACGTATTTAACGAACATAAATGCTGATATATGTGCTAAAAAAGTTTGTGAATAATAATTAAATACTTATAATGTGTCTGTTTACGAAATTATAAAACGAATATTCTCTCTCTCCTCCAATATAATTAAGAAGAAAAAATAGAAAAAAGAAACTCATTATAATGATAGATTCAAATTATATTTTTATGATTACTTATTATTTCAAGAATAGTGAAATATACTAGTTATTATAGAAATATTCAATAGTATATTATTCGAAGTTATCTGGTTAATTGTTTTATTTAATTTACAATAATTTCACAAGATTGATATTCAATGCGATGTTAGGAAAGAACAATATGTTTATATATAACGTAAAAGATTTTTAAGCGAAAAATAAAATAGTAAAAAATGAAAATAAGAGCATCGTCGCACCTTTCTTTTTAACCCCTTTCTCTCCCTCTCTCTCTCTCTCTCTCTCTTTTTCTCTCAACCACCATTTCGTGATTATTAAACTTCCTTTCCCACTTCTTTAGACGCAAGTAACGAACTTGATGCAAGATACTGAATAAAAGAAACGATTTTTAAATGGTATAAAAAAATATATATATTACTTTTTTTTAAAACATAATCTTTATAAAGTTGAGGGTAATAAATTATCAGGTATATAGGTGGCAGTCTGTAATGGCGATGTAAACAGGAGCCATCGAATGCTCAGCAGAAGCAAAAGGAACACGGTCCCGATTATAGAAACCAGAAAGAAGAATTGCAGATGGCGCCTGGTTTGCCACGCTTACAATATTGTGCCATCAGCATCCACGAGCGAGTCGATTCGTTCTGCAAGAGAAGTTCTTGTTTTTGAAAGAACATTTCAAGCACTTGTTTACACTTATTATTTTTTTAATTACTCTAGTATTCATTGAATTTAATTTAGATTTAATTATACAAATATAATATTCGTTATTATATTTTAAAAAAAGATAAACACAAAAAAATAATATACATATGAACCTATATTAAATTGCCCATAATGTTAAATAGTACACCTCTCCACAGTATGAAGTAACTTAACCTATTAATTTAGCTTTTTATTAAATTAGTATTAAAGAGATCTATATAAAAATACCGTTTAATAAATTTTAAAAGTAGACAGTAATATAAACGAAGAATAAAATGTTAATAAGAAAGAAGTAATAGTTATTAGGAGTAGTTTAAATGAATGTGTGTATATAATTGGACTAAATATATATATATATATATATATATATATATATATATATAAATGTAGATATATATTGTCGGTACCATCGAAATCTTACGAAGAAGAGGTTAAGGGGGACAGAAAGAGAGAGTGAGGTATAAGAGTAGGGGTGGATAAGAGAGGGAGGAGTGAGAGTGTGCAAGAGAGATAGAGGGAGAGAGCGAAAGAGAGAGAGAGGGAGAGAAGAGGAGGGCGGAAAAGATAGAGAGAGAAGGGATCCTACGAATGCACGATACGTCAGCTCGAGCAGGCAGAGTATCGAGTCTTTCGCCGTCGTACATGTACACTGGTATACGTAATTGTGCGAAGACACGATTTCGAAGAGGCTGTTGTTAATTCAGCAGAGGTCTCATCTAGTCTCTCAACATCGGTCGACATCGGTTCAGATCGGTCGACCGGCCGAACCAAACAAGCTATTTTCATTCGGCCGATATAATCGTATGCCGTACTCGTAGCCGTCGATCACCATATCGTTGTCGCTGGAATTGTCACTCGATTGGAAGAAAACTTACTCGAAACGACGACGGACGCGCCGAAAGGTTTGTCTTCCAACTAGCAAATAACACTAATTCTCCAATGCCAAATCCCTATTGTATTAAATCATTTTATTGTTTAATTATATTTGTTCGTTTACCCATCCTCCATATTTGTGACACCTTTGATATTTGTCCTTTTAAAACTATTCTCTACCCAACATGGACTTCTTCCTTCCTTCCTTCCTTCCTTCCTTCCTTCCTTTCTTCCTTCCTTCCTTCCGTTTCCTTCATCGAAGATCATCTCTGACACCGGAAGTCAATGGATGTGTTACTACACTCGCCTATATTGACGGAAGTTCTAGTCGCCATTTTATTCAAAGGCTCGTATTTTTTTTTATTTTACATATTTATGCATTAATCGCCATTGCGTATCGAGGATAAGTCGACGCATCGATAAACGTATTTTTTATTTTTATTATTTACGATCGACTCTATTATAGTTAGATCGTTTAATCGATAAATTCGCATTTAGGTTGTTTTGTTTTATATAAAGTTTTAGACTACGGTGGATCTAGAGAAAAAGTAAACGTTTGCTCTATCGAGCGTTTTGACGCTATCAGAAATATTTTTGCATACCTATTCGTTTAAAGTTTGGTGGTCACCTTGATGACACTACCAAACATTTGTACTTTTCTAACAAGAGACGAGTTCGTTAACGACAGAAATTAATTTCCATTAATGTTAAATAATTGATTTTTATTTTATATCTTTTATTAAATAAAATAATATTACATTCAATAGCTATTTTGTATTTATTTATTTATTTGTTTACAATAGTTCTTAGTCATGAATATTTGTATACAAGAAACATTTTATTCTCCAAACGAATATCATGTACGATAAATTTATCGACGAATAATAAAACAATATCGGTACGATATCGTTGAAGTATACAAAAGCATATGTTTGTTATTAAAATTATCTTTCAATAGGAATCTTAATAGATTTATTCGCGTATACAAAAAAAGAATAAAATGGTTCCTTTTTCGTCGATGATTCCTTACGTACAAATTGAATTTGCGTTACGTCTGACAACAAAGTAAATTCCTTTATGATTCATGATACAATTGACCTAAGGGAATAAATATAACGATAATAAGTAATAGTAGAAAGAAAAAGAAGAAGATTTCTAACCGTGACAAGATAATACGGACGTAGTTGTATATGCGAATAATATATAAAATGGCGTACGTGGGACTAACGCTAATGATGTATATCCTGCGTGTAAGTCGTCTTTTCATATTCAGAAATATTTCCTTGTTTTAAAAAATACATAATATTATCAAAAAATTCTTCGTTAATCTTCGAGTTTAAAAATAATCGGTTAAGAGTGATATTGGAATAAGTAATCGGTCATAATTTAACATTACAATCGTGGTTAGTCGTATCTTAATATTGAACCAGATTGTTGACAAGCCAACAAAAGAAATGGCGGCTCGTTGGGTTCGATATATTTTACCGGTACTTCCGGAATTGACACCTACGACACACCGTCGATAAAAACAAAGAGAATCAGTGATTTCGAAATGAATATTATTTTATCAAAAATATATATTTTATGATTTTAAAGATATTATTTAAATATTTATCATATTAAATACAAATTTGTGATTTTATGAATGGTCAAATAATTTCAATAAATAGACCGATATTTGATTGAATATTTTCGTGTCTCTTCTCGTAAAATACTTGTTAGAGATGTGGATCTAAGGTGATTTATAACTCCGTGATAATCTTTGTTCATTAGTCATTTTTAATAAACGTTGACGGTAAATCGAATAAATGGTGTTTGCTTCGGTAGATAAAAGGAAACGTCGATGTGTATATGGGAGCAAAAGAAATTCCTTGAAGATGTCAGGAAGACCGCCTCGTTTGCGGGCACTTCGACCTCGACCACAGCAGCAGCAGCAAGTTAAAACGGATATAACGCAAAAGATGATTACCGATTTGGAAGATAATGAAGCAGAAAGTGAAACGAAAAATGATCCTGTTAATAATCAACTCAAGGAAAATAAGAAAATCGGAGAATCTTATAGTAACGATGATCACCAGATGGAAAATCAAAATGTTAATGGCAAATCTTTTTCTACTCTGGAATTGTTTAACATGAAAGACATCAATGAAGAAGAATCCTTGAAGGATCAATCGGACTTTAATGTTTATTTGGAGCAAGTGAAAAAAGAACATCAACAAATGGTAAGCACAAATAAATGAAAATTAATGAACATTTGTAGAACATACGAATCTTAAATGCTTTGCTTTCAAGTGTTTAGATTCTTCATTTGAGTCTTCGTTATTTTATTATATTATAGTAAATTCTGATTGATTGATTTTATCGTAATTATTGAAACAAACAACAAAATCTTTGCATTGACACGCCCATACTTGCTTATTGACATGAAGTTTTATGTATTTAATGTTATTAATATCCTTGTTTTATGAAACTCTAAAGAACAAAAGCGTTCATGATACAAGTGAAAATCAATGTCCTATGTGCCCTTATGATGCACTATCTTCACGTGATCTGGAAACTCATCAACGAGTACATCATTTTAAACGAAAATTCTTTCGTTGTGCTAAGTGCTCTTATGTTACGCATGTGCGAGCACGTTATACAAAGCATGTCAAATATCACTCCATGCCAATGATCAAGTGCGATGCCTGTGATTTTAGTACACCATATAAGGTTTGTTTATTATAATATGTACTATAATAAGCATTAAGAATAATCATCAAATAAATGTGTACGTTTTAGTGGAACTTGGATCGACATACACGTAATCACGGTGGCGGAGGGACTTTTCAATGTAGAGCATGTAATTTTACTGCTGATATTCGACAAAGTTTAACGGTGCACGAGACCAACCATCACGAGCCTCCAGTAGGTCAATCCAGTCGCAGAAGCAATATGCCATTTGAGCGTAAACCACGCAATAGTCCAAAACGTTATAATCAGGTAAACATTGTTCTAATTGTTTTTTGTTTATATCTTTATAAATAGATTATAAATATTTATAAGTATGAATACTTTCCTTAGGTTGGTGCAAGTGATTTTCGGGAACCTACCGGTGCGACTGGAAATACTACTGCTATTAATCTTGGGGAATCTTTCAATACCGATCAATCAATTGACGATAAGAAAAGTGTACTTGCAGGTGCGGATTGCATTCCTTTAAAATGTGAAGAGAAAGCTTGTCAGTTTGTAACATCTTGGGATTCTGAAATGCAACGTCACTTGGCAGAATGTCACGCACCAATCGCCTTGAACAAATCGAGAAAACCACTGCCAATGTTAATTCCATTAAATCCAGTGAACAATAAATCTAATACTATATTAAATAGTAATACACCAGCTACATTGTTAAAAGTTCCACGCGTTAGAGTGAGACCTGAACTTGCTCAAATTGCAAGAGATACCGAAATGGCTAAATTGTATGGGAATAAAGAGGTTGGTAATTTAAGTTAGTTGTTAAATAATTACTTACATATATGCAGATGCAAATTATCTTACTATAAAGCTTTATTATTTATTATGTATAGATGAACTCTAAGAAGAATGTTAATAGCGTAGTAAATGCATTTGAAAGAAAAAATGCCTCCTTTTTTGATAAACTTAAAGAAAAATTATCATCGTCAGTGGCCATGAACAAAGGGATGCCAGAGGTAGCTGTAAGTAACATGATTGATCTGAAATGTTGGTGTACATTTAAAGCTAGTAGCATGGAAGAACTGGCTTCTCACAAACAAACACACCACACTGCTCTCAGTGTATCTGTGGGCATGTCACGTTGTCCTAAGTGCAGGAGACGTTGCAAGAGTACAACTGATCTTGAAGTACACATGCAGTATTGTCAGCAAACAAGCAGAGAATCACCGGTTGATAGTAGTTTTGAGAAGGTTACTGAGTGCTCGGAACTTCGCATGACTGCATACAGTAGTGAATATACGTTTCCTTCTCATTTGGAATGGGACACCAGCCTTGGAGGGCACAATTCTTCTGGATCTTCGGTATGGCGTAGATGTAGTTTTTACAAAATAAACTTTTACACGAAACTCATAAGATCTGCTTACATCATTTACATTATCTTTTGTAAGGTATTTTTTGTAAGGTCAAGTATAAAAGCTTTAATGTCAGTAGAATCATATTACAAGCTTATATTTTTAATAATACACTTATTTATACATATGTATGTATATATCTATATATACATATAAATATATATATATATATGTGTGTGTGTTTTATAAAACATGCTGCTGCTGATGAAAAGCTAATATGCTTTAAATCCCTGCATCTAGTCGTAGAAAAGTCAATTTGCCAAAGACAGAGGTACACTGGAGAGGGTATGCCAATTTGAAAAATTTATTACATTATGTGTCTTATTTTGGAACATTATTGGATTTTTTAATTCTTTTTTACTTTCGTTACGCGAAAACAAATTAAATTTAATATAGATTAATAGAAGTTGAGTACGTCATTAGATTCAAATACATTTTCATCTTCATAAAATATCAATGTTCACATGTGCTATGTATTTGCTCTTAGTAATAATAATAATAATAATAATAATAATAATAATAATAGTAATAATAATAATAATAAAAGAAAAAAAAGAAACGTCTTTATTTACTTCTTTTCATCTGTGTATAATAAACAAAATAATAAACAACAATATTCTTTGCTATAGTCAAGAAGTACAATATCTTCTGTTAGGTCGAGGGAACTTCTGCGCATCCAAATGGACGACGAGTATTCAAGTGTCCTCATTGCCCATTTTGGGCATCAACTGCAAGTCGTTTTCATGTGCACATAGTTGGTCATTTAAATAGGAAACCGTTCGAGTGTTCTCTCTGCGCATATCGTTCTAATTGGAGATGGGATATTACAAAGCATATTAAGCTTAAAGCAGCTAAAGATCCGGTGCATTTGACTGCTAGAGTACTTATGACTGATGAAACAGGTCGACGAAATTATTCGAAATATAACAAATACCTTGCACAGGTAAAAGTTATTGTTTCATATACAGACTTATGAATTTTGCCTTTATGTATGTTAAAATAGGTGGCAAAAATAATTCACAAATATACGTATAAATGCAGATATACAAGAATTTATGAATTCGCTATGTCAAAAAACAATGTAAATATAATCAGTATTGCAGATTTTATATTTATATGTTAATTATACTGTTAAACGTATTCGGTTTAAGTGGAATTAATTTATTAAGTATCGAATTTGTTAATTCAGGTTGAGCAACAAGTATGGGATGATCAAAATATGGAGGAAAGAAGTATAGAAGAAGTAAACTTTAGTGAACCTCCAACTAAAGTGTTAATTCTGAGTAATAAAGATTACTCACAGACTGCTGAACTTCCTTCTTCCGTTGATTCTAAGTTAATAACAAATAATGACAATCGCAATGAAAACATCATATCTTTAAGACATCCACCTCCGTTGAAAGTTTCCGTTAAAAATCGTGGACAATCTTTGCTTAAAAATAATACCACTAATGTACAAAATTCAAGTATATCTATCTCGACCTCTACAACGGTATCACCAACAAACACTACAACAATAACTATGGATGATAACAAGCGTACTATGTGGAAATGTAAGAAATGTAATTATAAAGATTCTAATAAGGATACAGTTCTGTTGCACGTAAAGTCTCATTATGAAGCCATTGATCAAAATGTCAATGAAGAAAGGGTAAGCATAATTAAGAGTATCTTTTTATATAATTAAGGAATAGTATCAAATTACGTATAAGAATATTTATTTATTTAAAATATGTCATTTATCAATAGAACATCTACGGCTGTGGAGATTGTCCATTTTCTGCATCAGATACAGTATCTTTATCAATGCATAGAGTGCATCATCGTCCAAATAATAATGCAATATTTAAATGTTATCTTTGTCCATATTACGTTAATACAAAAGCGTAAGTAATTTAATCTATTATAAATTTAATGACATATGTAAGGTTCGGCTGAATAATTAGATGACACCCTGTGTTCAAACAAATACATTATTTGGCCGGATCCTTTATTTTGAATTTGATCTTGAACTTTTGTGTGTCTACTTAATTTATAACATTTGTATGTAATTAGCGAGTTATTGGAACATGCAAGACTTCATGGAGAGGAATTAGCAGTTGTACATCAACAGAATATGGATTTTCGCATGCCTGTTTTAAAGTCCAAGTTACAGACTATAAATTCTGAAGACGGTACGTTGTCTTATCATTTGATTGCACTTCGAATTAGCAACAAATGAAATTTCATGAAAACATTTTGATATCGTAGGTGATAATAATATAAAGAAAGAAACTACCATAGAACAAAATATTCCTACTACGTCAAAAAGCAATGGAGCATCCTTATCGAGCGTACCAACGACAAGTTCGAATAGAAAAAATCCTGTTCTTTTGGACACGCGTCACCTACCTGACGCGCCATTGGTGTGGGTAACGAGACCGGACGGTACCTTAATTAAAATGTTAAAATGTCGATACTGTCCATATGTGACTTCTCGTCGTGCGGAAGTTTGCGATCACGAGATGATGCACGTTGATTATCCAAGTCAAGATCCCTTCTTTACTTGTGATAATTGCAGTTACACCAGTGCCCATAGAGAAGTGATGAACGCCCACGTGGATATGCATTCGGGTTCTTCAGGTATTGTTCACTGCCTTGTCGATCAAGCACGATCGGATTCACAACAGCTTAATGATTTGTTGGCATTACTTAATCTTACACATATGCCAGCCTTGGGAGCAGAACCGGATCTGCGTGATTTGAGATTAGTATATTGTTGCGGTAAATGTCCAGCACGGTTTCTCTGTGAAAAAGAATTGAGAATACATCTGCGTTATCATATGACCGAGTTAGCTTACATGTGCCAGTGGTGTTCGTATGCAGCACGCCAGCCAGCTCATCTTGTTGCCCATCAGAAAGCACACTCTACAGAATATCAAGAACGTACTAAATATTTGTTGACTTTGCATGGCTATTCTCAAAGATTTCCACCTCCTCCAACTGCATGTGTTGAAGCCAGCGATCAAGAATTCAATGACACTTCTAATAACGTCGCCTGGATCGTAATTAAAGTATCTGAAGATTCATCCTATTCAACGAACTCTTCCTCTTTTTCGGGGACGTCTGCTCAACGATCCAACAATCAAGTGTTCACCTGTGCTAAGTGTCCAGCACGATATTTCAAATTAGATGCTTTAGAATATCACATGACTTTACATGGATCTAACAATCGTTTCAAATGTTCCGAATGCGATTACTCATCGAAAACATCACAAAATTTAATAAAACATCAAGTGGTACATCGAAGGCATAACGAAACCAACGGCATGGCCTCGTCTAACTCTTCCACCTCGACATCTCTACCTGATCCCCAATTCGGTGTATTTATGCGTGGTAATCCTAATTTCGTTTATCCAGGTTATTTACGTAACGGTAGATTGAAGGAAAAACGTTACAAATGTCATAAGTGTCCGTCGGCGTTTGAAAAACGCGAACAGTATAGAGTTCATTTGACGTTGCATGGCGCCAAACAACGATATCGGTGTGATACATGTGATTACTCCGTCAAATATTACGCAAATTATATTCAACATCTAAAGAAACATCAGGCTAATGCGGAAGCACAAGCATCTAGACGACGATTAGAGGATGACACTATATCGGTTGATAGCGATGGTATCACCGATCTTTCCATGTCGAATTTTCGTTCTGGTAAAACAATTGGATCTGGTACAGCAGCAGCATCTGTTACGACAATTTCTATGTCAACCATAAATACAATAGCCGGTAGTGGCGGTATAACTTCTATTTCGACTCCATTGAATTCTATGCACGTTTCCAATCAAGATAAACAGGCATTGATATTAATGCAGAAAAAAGGAATGTTACCGTCGTCGAACGAAATTGATATCGAAATAATTCGTTGCCAGAATTGTCCGTTTTCAACAACTGATAAGGAAGCCATGGATGCTCATAAAAGACGTCACGGAATTGAACGGATGACACCATCCTGTCCACATTGCGATTATATTCCTCGAAGGGATGAAAACGTGGGCGAACATATCAGATTGCATTTTACCCGACTATACAAGCCTGAGTCTTATCTTATCATAGAGTTGCTTACTTTAACGATGAGAAAGGTTGCTGTTAACGGGAAAGAAGATCAGAAAAAAAATAATATGGAATTACTTTTTAAAGAGTGCTCCGATGGAAGATTCTTCCCTCTAACAGACGGAAATTCCAGCTCGTTTAACGTTAATGCGTCGCATATTAATAATTGTAAAGAGAAAGTTATAGTAGATCCAAATACGGGAGAGACCAAGCAACGCTTTTTTGTTTAAATTATTTAGATGTAAAATATGAAAGAAACGCCCATTGTGCCATCTAAATGAACGGTATCTTTAAATATATATGATTATATGGTATCTGTTTCAAATTTCGTATATCTTCTTTTAAGAAGGAGAAGAAGAAAAAGAAAAAGAAAAAGAATATAAACCATTTAGCCATATCAAGTATGATCTAAATGATGTAAGAAACACTCATACGTCGATTTTAAATAACGCTTATGTACTATGCATAAATCTGTGCTAGAATTTTGTTGCAATATAGGCATAATTTTTTAGTTTTAGGCATCATAGTGCTTTTTATAGTTATTTTCTTTTTCTATCTTATATAATAGAATATTAAAGTGATATATTCTTTTGTTATAAGCTGATTTGTAAAGTTAATGTATCTATAAAGACGATAATAATAATTGTTATCAATAAAAGACCAATAAACGCTCCATCATCTTTGTAAATATAACAACGACTATGATCTTTAAAATTATGCTAAAAATATACTTATAGCTAATAAATCGTTATATTCAATGTAAGAATACGTACATTTTTGTTCTACTTTCTTTATTAGCAAAATAAAATATTTTTTTCTTTTTATTTTATATATTTTATTTACAACGTTCAAACCTTGAATATTAAAGTCTCATTTAAATACGCTTTATAGATTTATATTTTGAATTTTATCACCACAAAAAAGTTGATTTATCACCATAAAAAGTGAATTTTTATTCGTTAATAATATTTTTCAAAGTATTATATATTATTCATAGTATTAAATATTGAATACATTTATTGTCGTTTAATCGTAAGTATCACAAAACTACATAAAAATTAACATAACATAAATAAACAACACAAAAAAAAATTATAATTTACAAAATATTTACCTATTGTTTATACATTATATACGATTAACCTATTTCTTTTCATAACACTATAGGTTGTTACTTTTGAAATCACTTTTAAATATATCCCCTGCAGATATATATATATATATATATATACCAACTTTACTTTCATTTTTTTCAAAGTGCGCTTGCGCCTTGAATTTGTTGATGCGCATGCGTATAACATATCTCCCACTTATGGCGCCACCATTTCACAATTATTCAAAGTGTAATCATTATTTTCAACTAATTAACAATAAATAAAAATTATTTAATAAAATAAAGTTAAGAGAGGAGCCGGACAAATAAAAAGTGAGTGATCATTTCTCTTCTGCTGTTGCGATTCTATGCCAACTTTTTTGTGGTATTTTTTATCGAAGGTATAATATATTTTTATTACCGACATATCGTATGTTTATTGTAAATCTCTTCTTATCCGAAATCAACACATTATTACTTTATCGACAGATGTGTCTATAGTAACAACTGTCATTATAAGATGGCATCTTTGTCTTGGAATGGTACAACAGGAAATTTTTTTATCATAAATAATTTTAAATTCAATTTTTTTGAGCGCGTAACTAAATCCGTCAGATGCTTATAGTATAATATTTCTTATATATAAAATAATTTTGATATATGGATCTTTTTTTGTTTTTTTTAAGAAAATATTTATTATATTCATATGAAAAAAATGCATATTAGACGAAAGAATAATAAGATGCTGCATACAGAAAAAATCAATAAAGACGTGTCATTTCTGCGCCTGACCGTATTGCATTATACCAGTTACTACTTGTCTCGAGGTTATAATGAATTGTTATAAGGTGGTTGTTTAAGTGAAATAAGAGATCTAATTAAATCATTAATAATAAGAATGTTCGAGGGTGCTATAGCAGCGTTTTTAAATCGTTTTTTGGGTCGATATGTTGAGGACTTAGACACTGAACGATTTAATATCGGTATTTTTTCTGGCGACACATGTCTAACTGATCTTAAATTAAAACCCGAAGCCTTGGTATAATTACCTATTTTTATATTACTGTTTATTCATATCAATACATTCATAATTAATAAATATTATTTTTTATTTTTATTTATATTTATTTATTTGTAAAAAATTATTCGCGTTATTTATTTTATGTATTATGATTAGAAACAATTATAAATTTAATTATTTATATTTTTAGTATCAACTTGGATTGCCTATAAGAGTAGAGGCTGGTTTAATAGGAAAAATCATTTTGAAGATACCATGGACTGGATTGCTTTCACAACCAGTTGTCATACATGTAGAGGTAATTACATGAAAATAAATATAAAATTTAATTTTTTGTTTATAAAAAAAAAAGATATTTATTATTCCATTATGTATATTCTTATATATTCAAATAGAAATAAAACAATTGATTTTGTTTAAGGATATATTTATAGTAGCTGTTCCTATTCTATATGGTCAATATAATATGGAATTACAAAAGAAATTATTAAGAGCCGAAAAAAAGAAAATCTTAGAAGATCTCGAGGATGATAAAGCATTTACTGCTGGTAATTAATTAAAAAGAAAATATTTTTTACGAATTTAAATTATATAAATGAATAGGTATTTGAAAGAAGGTTAGAATTTAAACTGTTCTAACTTCTTTATCTGACAATGAGTAAATATTTTCACGATTCTGGTTATAGACTTTATACTATCTTCTCTTTCACTATCATAAACTCACAAACACATGCTATACAAGTAACACTCATAGTTTGAGAAGCCTTGACATAGGTCCTTCTTTTAGATATCCATTTAAATAAAAATAATTTATAATTTAAATTAACTAACAAATGTATAAATATTATTTATGTAATTAAAAAAAAAAATTATTTCTTTTATACTTTTTTTTAGGGTTGCCCTTAAATTTTTTTGACGGCATAGTGACATCGATTATGAGAAATTTTCAGATTACAATAAATAACATACATATTAGATATGAAGAAAAACTATTCTCTAGTTCTTTATCTGCTTGTGGTATTTGTATACAAAGTATATCTATGACAACAACAAATAAGTAAGCATGTTAATTTTAATTTTATAAGTGAACAAATAATTAATTTGCTAAAAAATGTATATGATATGATACTTATGAAACAATCAGATTATTTAATATTTTAGTAAATGGAAACCAGGAATATACTCGACTAATTCGCAAACCCTTTATCAATTGGTGCGAGCGGAGTCTCTTAGTATTTATATGGATCACGATACAGAATCATCTCTACAAAATTGTCCATCTAAATGGGATTTTGCTAGTTTTCTCGCATGGAAGGGAACAATGCTTAAATCACTTCAAACTTTTGGCATGAGAAATAAAGAATTTCAATTTTGTATGTATTAAAAGCAAAAAAACAATTAAAATTAATATTTGCATGAGGCATTCATGTATTTTTTTTATTGTTTACAGTGTTAAAGCCGTTTACAGCTAAGATTAAAATAATTATACATAAGGGCAGCGATGTTCAAACTTCACGGATTTTAATCGATCTCGTTCTCCAAGACGTGGCAATGCAAATTTCAGAAATGCAATATATTACATTTTGCCATCTGTACGATTCTTTACAAAGAGCAACTATAAATAGGTACATACTCGCAGATTATTTTGTTATATTACCGTTCGAAATATTTTGTTGTAAATATTTTAATTATTTAATATTGCAGACCTCACAGAAAATATCGACCTCAGAATAAAATCCATGAGAATCCCTCGTCGTGGTGGAAATATGCGTATAATTCTGTTCTAGATCAATACGTTAAACCATATGTTTGGCAAAATATAGCGAAGCATAGGAAAAATTATAAAAAATATAAAGAAATGTATAACCAAATATTATTACAACCAAACGATACAGAATTGAAATTAGATATGCAAAAGTTCGAGGATAATTTGACGATTGTGAATATAGTGATAGCGCGCGAACATGCCAGGCAGGAATTAAGAAATAAAAAAATAAAACAATCTCACGAATCGTCGAAAGAAGACGCAGCGATCAAAGATGAAGAAGTTGTGTCGTCAAATGAAAATAAGTCACAAGATAAAGCGCAATCCGTCGATCAGGATAAGAGAAGGACGTTCTACAATTTAATCGATAACGGTCCAAATGCAAAAATAAACTTGGAGAAATTGTCAAGGCCAATTGGTATGATCAATGATAATATATTCTACTTTACTTGCTGGAACACTTAACATGTTCGTATTATAAACTTCTTTTTTAATTATTTATTTCATTTTCGTAATGTATAATAAATTCATTTGATTCATAACACTACAATTATTTCCAATATTTAATTAAAACACCTTATCTGAACAAAAGTATTATCCATATTTCAGATTACAAATACAATTTTACTTTGGCCAATTTTTCATTGAGCTTACTGAGCAAAAACAAGGAAGTACTTGTAGCTACTGTCACGCAATTTCTAACAAGTGTTGAGACAGCACCAAAACTATCGGCGTTTAAAGTTTCTGCCAGAGCAGAAAGTTGTGTAATCGAAGGAGTTTCGCAGGAGGGTGATCTAGTTCCTTTAACCATCGTTGATAATGTTTTAACAGGTAATGACATATATTCATATTAAAATGATTAAAATTTAATAATCCCTCAAATTAACTACAATAAAATTGTTTTTTTACAGGAAATGTGTCGACCAATTTTTTGGCTTTAGATTTTGAAAAAAAAAGAAAAGACATAGATCCCAGTTTTGATCTATCGATCAAATTAGAAACTATCGAAGTTATTTATCATCATGTAATTACAAAACATTTCCAATCTATATACAAGTGTGTTCCAAAATATGTGGGCATAACTTTAAGGGTGGCAAATATATAATATGAACTTTTTATTTTATTTTAGTGCCCTGAAACATCACTCCTGAAGTTATGCCCACATATTTTGAAACACTATGTACATATATAAACAAAATGTCGTATTATACAATAACACTGTTATTTATATAATTTCCAGTATGCAGTGATGGAAATTATTAATTTTTTTAAATTAGGCAATCCTTATATCGAAAATACTCTTTCTTGGTCATACAAACTATGTAATAATGGTGTTAAGAAATTTCTCAGTTTCATAGATAGCATTACATCGCAAGAATTTCGAATAACTATCAAAATTGATATCGGTGGGCCCTATATTGTATTTCCCGAACACGGATCTATACAAAGGTAAATTAAATCTAAGAGCATATTTAATTGCAATTTGATTAAAATTTTATATTACAGAGAAGGACATTTAATGATTTTGGATTTCGGTGATATATCGTTGGTAAACGAATTGCAAGCAACTAATTTGCAATTAGAAGATGCTACGCTTATGGAATTAGACGTGTCACTTTATGACAGACTTCATATTGAATTTAAAGGAGGACAAATTCTTTGTTGTCATTCAGGTTTGTAAAAAGTAAAGTTCTCTTGAAGAAATTCTTTCTTTCTCTCTTATTTTTATTTTCTTTCATTCTTATTCAGGAGACGATTGGCGGGCTGCTAGAAAACAAGAAGATTCAGAATATCACTTCGTATCTAAAATGGAAGCAAAAACTACTATTTCGTATAGTATCAAACCTGAATATCGTCAATTACCAAGGTAGTCCTTAATAAGTTCATTAAAAATACATTTTAAATAAAACATATTTCAATCTTTGATATTTTTCCTAGAGCGAAACTCAACGTAACTGTACAACGCTTGAAAATCAACGTATCGGAAAATAAAATACAATTGATAACGTATTTTTTAAATACTTTATCTATATTTTGTTGGAATTATACTAAGAAATATCAGACGTTTATGGAACAAATAAGTCCTAAGACAAAAAGTAATATATTTGTTTTATCGTTAAAAAAACTCAAGCGAATACAGAATAGTATATGTCTACCGACTGTTACCAAAGCACAAAAAAAGTTTGATCGTGTTATGCAAGAACTTTTGATTAATAACGTACCAAGGCTTGATAGGTAATAAAACAAACAAATTTTGTTTTCATTTATTATATTAAGTATTTATTTATTGTTTATTAATATTTTGATAAATGTATTAATCAATTTAACAGAAGCGTCGTATCTTCGGAAATCAGTGAAGAAGATTTGGAATTATTATCTAAAGCTATTAATTTGTACGGTTTTGATGAAAACGTGTCTCCGTATAATCATATGAATTTTCTCATAAGATTTGCCATTGGAGAAGTTAGCGTTTCTATTTATATTCATTTGCATTCATTCAATTTTATCTTATAATAATTAATATATTATGCTTAAAATTTAGCTTTCCATTCATGTGGGATATATGAATGAAACTAGAGAAGAACCGTATTTAAATTTAAGATTACGTAAAGTATCAACTGAAATTGGTATAATGGAGTATGGATTTGCAATTCAATTTATGATAGATTCTATAATTTTGCTCGATCAAACAAATGCGGATATTACTGGATCGTATTTGGAATTTATATCAACAGGCAAATGTGAACAAGTTTTTGATTTATCATATCGCAAGGTATATCTTCAATGTTTTCCATTTATTTTTTCATGTCGAATATTATTTTGAAAAGATTTTTTAATCTTTAGGTCAGATCAGATTGTCCAGATTTTAAAGGGGTTTTTAAAAATATTGAAAGATTGTTGCTTATAAAGCTTTTGAACACGAACATTATTCTTCATAGACCTGCGTTGTTGAAAGTAAAAAAATTTTGGAAGAATATTAATCAGTACGCATAATTATCTTTTTTTTACTATTATTTATTTTGAATATATGTATATGTATTTTTAATTTAAAACTTACGTTTATTTTAGAATATTTTGCGGAACTCTTTTATTCGAGTGTATGAAGAAACTATGTTTAGAAATTATTGAATGGGAAAAGAACGATCACGATCCACCCATTCCTCCAGGTAAAAACTACAAATATGTTTATAAAGATAAATGAATTATCTTCAACTGTTTATATATAGGTGCAATTAAGCTCAATTACTCGGCAAGAATTGGTACATTAACCGTTCGACTATGCGACAAGGACACAGATTTAATGAAAATTGAGATATTAGGTATTGAAAATGATTGTATCTACATTGCCAATGAAAGAATGGTCTTTCGTGTTTATCTAAGAAATCTACTCGTCGAAGATTTGAACGAAGAAACGCTCTATGCTAAAGTAATTAATTTTATTTATACATTATAATATTTTATTTTTCTATTATATTAAAATAATGATGTACACCTTTTGTTTCAAGATATTAACAACCGATGAAGATAAAGTTTTAGATTTGAAATATGTGAGGCACACTCCGAAGTTGTACGTATGTTCTGACATTGATACGAATCAGGACGATGTTATGTCACATGGAACATTTAAATTATCTATCGGACGAATTAATTGCGTGTTGATTACAAAGATACTACAAGACTTACACGTAAGAATTGAATATTAATGATAATATTTACAATTATTTCAAGTAATTAATGATAATGATTATTCTTTTATTATTAACAGTACTTCTTAGTGCCATTTGCTTCATCCTTTTTGACGCAATTAATGATATACTTGAAAAAAAAATGTATAGCCTATGTTGAAGAATTTAAAAGGAATGCTATTAAATTGCATATTTTTATTGACATACAAGGACCTACATTTCTTCTACCGCAAAAAAAAGACATCGCAAATCTGATAGTTTTTGATACAGGTATGTTTTGAATATAAATATTTAATTAATTCGAATTTATTGTAATATCTTGGCATATAATATTATTTTAGGTATACTATCCGTTGAAAATTTTTTCAAAAAAGTTGATCTAACGACTCAAACAGTTAAAAATCATTCCATTGATGGGAATCACATAATAATGGATAATATTCTATTAAAATTGAAATCGATGACTTTGTCTAGAGCTATTATGACATTAAGCAGAGATTTAGAAGTTCAAGTAAGTATAACAATTTTAATATTATATTTAAATAATATAAGATTAAAATATATATTATTATTATTATTAATATTATTATTATTTTTATTATAGGAACCTATTATTGAACCTGTTTATATTCATTTTGATATAAAAAGAAAAACAGAATATCATACTATAATGGAATATGAAACATTTGGACTCTTTAAAATGCATGGATCTATAGATTTTGTATGCATAAATCTTAGTCAAAGAGATTTACAATCCATAATGTCCGTATGGAAAGAAAACATATCCAAAGTAATTTTATCTCAAAGAAAATGTGAAAATAAAAGATTTTTCATGGTAGACAAATCCTCGGAGAGCGTTAATACCGAAAATGCGATGGTTAAAAAATTAGAAGTTTTTCTGGCTCAGAATGAAGCCAATTTATGCGAAATAAATATAAATCTGACTTTGGACGGAATACAATTAAATTTATTTTTAGATTCGGACGAAGTATTTAAATTTGATATAAAATATCATATATTAGCTTTTGTAATCATATTTATGTATTTCTTAATTTTTTAGGTGTTGAGTTCACCTGTACGAGATTTAAACCATGGTTTATGTAAATTAAATTTTGGAGAAATAATCAATACATTTGATTTTTATAGCGATAATAGTTTACAGATGAAATTCTCTCTGCAAAGCATCATTTTACAAGATACGCGTAAAGATTCTTTCATTATTAAAAAGTATGTGTTTTTCATTTAATTCCGATGAATTTATAATGGATAATGTCTATTAGATATGTTGTAAATAACGAATTTTGTATTTCAGAATTATTCAATCCCCAGCTAAATTAATAGGATTAAATGTTGATTCGTGCATTTCTGTTTCGTTATCGCCAATAGTTGATATAACGTATAATCAAGCACCAACGGGTGATAAATGTTTGAATATTCTTATTCAAGAAACAAGAATTAATTTGTCAATATCATTCTTATTTCATCTTGTACGATATTTTCTGGATGCCTTACCGCATGACCAAATTGAAGGAGGCATTATCAATCATGGATATGAAAACAATAGTAGCACATATGTAAGATTATACAGCATATTATTCAGTATACTATATAACAGGTCTTCTCAAACTTTTCCACTTGGCGATCCTCTTTAGTTACGCGACAACGTTGCAACTTACACTTTGAGAAACCCTGTCATATAGGATGTTTACTATTAACAATTATTATTATATATATAATTACATTTTTTCAAATCTATTTATTATAAATCAAGATCAATGATATTACAACAGGATCTAATAATGTAAATTATGAGCTATATTGCAAGGAACAACCAGGTATTTAATCAGTCGATTATTGATGAAATAATGTATTGAATACAATAACAAGTGATAACAAATTCATATTTTTATTATTCTTTTTATGCAAGTATTTTTAATTTAATTTCATTTAAAAATTATTCAGTTAAATATTTTACTGTTACATATGTATATATATATATAGGCTTATTATATTTAATATAAATTAGTTATTCATTTACTGTTGTCTGATGTTTTCATTTATATTTATAATATTTGGTGACATTCGTTCAATTTATTTGTACTAATGTTCAGATGTTGCAGTATCCGTACGAATACAAAAGCCAGAAATTTTACTATTTGGGGATTTGAAGTCAAATAATACGCATATAATATTATTTCAAGCAGAAATAATAATAGAGAGTAGTAGCCATAATTGTCTTTCTTCAATAGTTTGTACAATTACGAATATTCGTGCTAAAAGTACAAGTCAAGGAACATATCTTCGTCAATCGCCACATTGGTTGCTTCGTCCATGTGATGTTGAAATTTGCAAAAAAGAAGAATTGCTAAATCATACTATGGACCTTGTAATCTCTGTAAGTCCTGTTTATATTCACCTTTCTCCTGGAATCATGCATACTTTTGTAGACGTAAGTATTTTCATCAAGACATGTGTTATTTACACGCGAATGAAACTTGTATAAAATTATATATAAACATTGACGCTTGTAGATAACCAATGAAGCTTTGGGTTTTATAACAAATATTGGCTTAAAATTTGAAGATAGAACTACTGGAAATGATTTAAATCAACATACTGATTTATGGTCACCCAAAAATATATCTAGTATACCTTACAAAAAAGTTGAAAATGGTAAATATTTCTGTAAACATTGATTATAACCCACGTATTGATAAAATATGTATCATTTTTATAATACGATACATTTTTTTAATATGTAGAATTATTGGGAAATATAGAACTGCTACACGAATATAACAATCAAGATATAACTTTTTGTTTAAAGCCAATACCGGTATATATATTAATAGAAATGGAAACGAGTAAAGAAAAAGTTCCTATGGTACGAATAGAAACTGTTATTGACATTAACATCGATTGCTCCAAAAATTTTCATTTAGAATCTAAATTAAACGTTCACGCGTTTTGTTACGACATCGATCATAAAGTTTGGGAACCATTTATTGAACTATGTACCAAAGATGGTATTAAGTATAATCCCTGGATATTGACTATAAAAGTAAAAATATTTAATAACAAATATTTATATTTGTATATAATAATTATGACGAACATTTAAATAAACATTCTCTATTTTAATATTTTTATTAGATGTATAACGGAGAATCATGCATTATTGATTCTAATTGGACAGATCCATGGCAGCGTACAAATGAAGATACAATAAAAAAGAAAAAAAATATAAATAATAATGAAGAGGACTCTATGGATATGGTGTTTATCAACCCGGAGCATACAGTCTCTTTACAAATGAATGGTATTAGAAAATAATAATGAAAAATATAATCATAAATATATAATTGTTTGTTGTCAGTACACTTCCCTTTTTTCAATCTTCTTTATACACGATATATTTAGGAATGAAAATATTTCCTGGATATGACGAAGACTCCGACACGGATGACGATGAAAATGGAAAAAAATTAACCAAATCTACAAACTATTTATTCAGTAACGAAAGTAGCGAAGATGAAGATAGTGATTCAATTGATTCGAGTACGAATGAAGACGACGGCTTAGATCTACCATCGACCAGTAACGTTGAATCATGTATATATTATTTATGAATTATTGTTAACATATAAATAGTACTGGTGCAATTAAATATTATGTTTTTAGCAAGTCCTGTTAACGATGCACAGATCAAAATGGGACAAACAACAGCAACGTATATCATAATATCTACTGAAGATGTTATTAATTTTACGATTACACCGAGTAATCTTGCAATTATGAATATGATTATAGATGCATTTGTAGAGGTGAAGAATGGTATGCCTATAATACCTACAAATATAAGTGAAATAAATTTGCAAAATAATATTGGTCATGCTAGTAGAGTAGAACTGCTTGTTCAAGAACAGGTAAATTATAAGTGAATATATTTATATCGTTTATCTATAATTCATATTATATATAACTTTGATTTCACTTTCTATTATTTAGGTCGATGGAAAAATGACTACACGAATTCTTACCGCAAGAAACTATCATTGTGATGACTCTCCCCCAAGTACACCAAACACACCTGATGCTGAGAATATGTCGCGTAGCACGAGCCCGCAATGGATTACCAATGAAAACGGGTTAATTGATTTTGAAGATAATCCATTGAATTATCCTCTTTTCACGCAAAATATTATTTATAACGAATCTCCTATTTGTTTATATAAAATGATCACTGGCGAAGTATTGCATATTATTATCGAAGGTAAATACAAAAGTTTTATATTATTTAAATATTAAAAAAAAAAAATAATATTAAATATTTTTTATGTATATATTGTTTTTGTTATTTTAGGTTTTAAAGATATTTCAATATATTGCCCGAAAAGACAAGGTTGTAAATTCATTCCACTTCGACCAGTCAAACAAAACGTGGAGTATTATTTAATTGTAGATACGACTATTGATAAAAATTTACAACGTACCATTTCGATTAGATCACCTCTCCAGGTAAATTTAAAAAGAGTATTATTGTTATTGAATTATAAATATTACAATAACGTACAAAATTAATTAATGTATTTTTGTTTATATGTTGTTTGCTTGTTACAGATTAGAAATGAAACGTCATATGCTTTAGCTCTTTATTATAAAAAACAATTGGCAGAAACATTACAATTAGCGGATATTGGAGAAGCTATAAATCCTTTCGACGACAATATAAGAATGGGGATTATTGAACCTGACTGTATTTACAATGTTCCGCTTTATATTGCATACCATTTTCCTATTTATGTAGAACCAGCATATTTGGAGTAAGTAGTTGAGTTTTTATATTATCAAAATTAAAAATTTTGTCAGAAAATATAAACTAGTATAAAACCTATTGTAGAAATTATCAGATTAGCGAGGAAGGTATTTTTTGGAAGGAACTAAATATAATAACTGATACTAGCAAAGATGTGTTTTGTAAATTAAAGAATAATGAAAATCAAAGTGTATTTTGCATAAAAGTAGTGGGTACCGAATTTCCAATGGCAATACCACAAGACTGCAGAGTACCAAATTATTTAATAAATATTATTCCACCTCTTATACTCAATAACCAGTTACCTTTTGTTATTGATATTGGAATACCTTCTATAAATTATGAAGTAAAAATTGAACCAGGTGATAAAGTGAATGTGCACTCGTTGATGTGTACAGGTGATATACAATTCCATTTTAAGGCATGTATAATTATAAAATTAAATAATTTACTGTAAATTACTGTAATATCCGAACGCTACAAAGTTAGAATTTTGCTGCATTATAATTTTGTTATGAATATACTTAGAAAAAAAATATATATATATATATATATATACATATAAAATATTAAAATCAGTAAAAATAATTTTGTTACAAAGAAAATTATAATATGCTAAAATAAAAATATTGTGGTGTCCGAATATTAAAGTTACTCGCCGTACATACGTTCTTAAAATATCCATATTTATGCTATCGTACATTTTATATAGATTCAAAATTATTTGGGTGCTCAATGGAGTGGAACTATAAAAGTCAATATGAATTTGGAGAGAAAATTTGTATTAATGAGTACGGACAATGAATCGTATTTAGGAAAACCATTTATAATACATGTTGAACTGTGTAAAAGTAAAAGCTGGTATATTATCATTCATGCTCAATATTGGATAGTTAATAAAACTGGTTTACCATTATTCATACAGGTAAACATTTTATATTTACGTAATTTATAATTCTTTTTATTATAGAAAAAAATTTATTTTATAATTACGTTAATTATTATATATTTTTAGGAATGTCATTTAAATTTATCCTACGAGATTCCAGAAGAAGAATTATTAGTTTTGTCGCAAAAAAATAATAAAAAAGATACTATTAGATTAAGAGCGCATCAATCTGAATGGTCCCTGCCATTTATTTTAAACGGAATTAATTCTATGTCTCTAATTGTTTGCAAGGATATCGAACGTGGAAGAAAATATCGAATATTAGCGGAGATAGATAACTCACGTTTATCTCCGTTGTTCACCAAAATTATTATCTTCTTACCATATTTTTTTGTTCATAATAAAACAAAAAAGGCCCTAAGATTTATGGAAGAAAATGATAATGCTGATTTATGGAATGATTTGTTACCAGGACAAGAGATACCATTTTGGCCGGTTACAGAATCTTTACAAATGAGAGTTAAATGGAAACATAGTCAGTTAGATTCACAGCATTTTAATATTACACAAACTGGTAAAACTGTATTAAGAATGGATAATGGTGTAAGTATATTAATATTTATTAACAAATTTGATTAAAAAATAGATTAATTAAATGAATTTATGAATGAATGACGTAAATATATGCTATGTTTAACTTTGTTTTTATAGTCAGCTCTATGCATAGAAATCGAAGGTGGTGCAAATACTCCATATTACATTGTATTTCGAAAATATATGATTGGAGATGTACCAGTAAGGGTAGATAATCTTTGTAGCGAACTATTTCTAAAAATCAATCAAATAAATTCTGGACAAGTGACCTTGTTAAATCCATTTCAAAGTATACTCTATACTTGGGATGATCCGAGTATGCCAAGAGAACTAATGTGGAATATTTACAATAATAAAAAATCTAGCTATAAAGCTCGATTTGATACCGTAAATACTATTATTAAGATTTTTTAATAGTGTAATTTATTGGTGTTAATATTATATTATATTTATATTATATGTAGGATGGTTTCGAACAAGAAGTTGTACCTTTTATTACCGTCGAATGCAGAGACGGTTGCACTGTATCTACTGCTAAGTCCCTCTTACATACAAGATTGTCCTATTCGCAAGAGAAAATAAATATTAGTACCAATGATAATAAAAATGATAATTCTGAAACAGAACAATCTAGACTAGGGCAAGTCCGAAAAGATAAGATTACTATTTATTGGGTAAGCTATATGGAAGGGACGCAACGTATCTTATTGTTCACTGAAGATGAAAATATATTTTTAAAAGCACGGAGTATTATTGAACCAGAAATTAGTAAACGAGAAATATTTCTATCGGTCGCAGGCGTCGGAGTTAGCGTTGTAAGTAATTTTAAAAAATAAATAAATTATTACTATTACATAAATGTAATAAATATTTTAACATAGATTTTAAAATGCAATGAGAAAAGTAAAGAATTTCTATATGGAAGTATAAGCGATTCTTCCGCGTGTTGGGAACTTTGCTTTGGAAAAAAGTGGAAAACATTATCGCTTGAATTAAGTGCTTGGCTGGAAAATAAATATATAAATTCCTTCAAAAGAACACAATTGGATAACTTTATTGACGTAAGTCTGTACTATGAAGTTTTCATTATTAAGAATATTACATTATATATATGCGTATATATATATATATATATATATAACTATATATATAAATATATATACGCACTACGTATATACAACTAACTTTTCTATTATTTTATCATCACCGTCCTAGGTTGATCTTGAAAAAATGCATATGACAAAACCATTTTTTGGAAAATTACGCAGAACATATTCACCCGGAATTTGGATACATTGCAGACAATCGATAACAATGACGTATATGCAAAGTTACATTCATCGAATACAGGTACTTCGATTGCGATGCTTTTTTTACGACTATAATGATAATTTTAAAAATTGTTTTTTTATATTCAGATAGATAATCAACTCAATAATGTCACTTTCCCTGTTATTCTACACTGCAACTTAGAAAAAAGTATGACTAATTTTATGGGCAATCATAAATCGAAGCATTGTTTAGAATTTATTTTGTTAAAACAGAAAAAGCTACATAAAACAATTTATAAGTGCGTACATATAAAAATGTTGCTATTCGAATATAGACCGTACATTGATCTAATTAATTCTTTTATAAATGAATTCATGTATTGAACATTTTCTTCATAGGGGTATAAGCGTCATATTGAGAATATTTAATATTAATCTTCAAGAAGAAGTCGCTTTGTCCTTAGTTAATTTAATTCCAAAAACAACTGAAACTAAGTATTCCATAGCAGCAAAACTTAGAAAAGATGTTTCCAATGTCCACATACATACTCATCACAAAAATATTGACGTACGTAAACGTATTTTTATTTCATTTCTTGTTTCTCTTAGCACCTTATTATATATCGTTAACAAATGATCATAAATAACACAAATTTTCATTGTAGACTTTACGGCGTAACAAAACCGCTATAATTGAATATATGTATATCTCTCCGATCGTAATATCTTTAAAATTATTAGCTAATACAGAGGGACCTAAAATATATAATTCTAGTGACCTGACAGATTATCATAATATTATTAAATATATTTTCGAATATGCAGAAAATGGATCTTTCGAAAAACATGCTGAATTTAAGTTTGTATTATTAAGTTCATATTTTATTATAGTCTTCCATTTCTTAACACGTTAAGCGTCAAGCCTATTTTTGTTGAGCTTTCCATTTAGACCATGATGATCTCTCAGCCATGACTGGCGTGGCGTTTAACATGTTAAACTTGATCAATGTATTTACTAATGAAAGATCTTTTATTTTTATTTCTTTGTTATTAGATTCCCATGTTATGAGAAATATTTTACTACAACCAGTATTAAACACTTACTATTGGAAATATCACGAAATTATACGGTTCAATTTATGCAACAATATCAAGTTTTGATCCATTCTATTACTGTGCTAGGAAATCAATATGGTTACAATTTTAGATCTCCAAATAGTAATTTTTATGATCCAGATTCGGTGAGTAACAAAGTATTGTTAATAATTTTATTTCATTTTTTTATATTATGATTATCAGCTAGATAATACTAAATATTTTTGATAGATATTAATATGCGGAGAAGAAATTTCCGTAAAATTGTCTCATGACATTGCATGTCTTTTGGGACACGCTACTGCTGATAGTGTGATTCCATCGTTTATTAACTTAAACAATTGTGAATCACATAATCAACGTTCTAAGGTATTAAATACTGTAAACCAGGCCTTCTCAAACTTTTTCACTTGGCAATTCCCGTTTACCGGAGGAAATATTTTCGCGATCCAGGGTGTAAACTATATACTATCTTCTCTTTTGCTATCATAAATTCACGGATATACCATACGCGTAGTGTTGTGTTAAACTGGTGTTTAATTTAATTTTCGGTCGATTCGCATCCAATTTGGTAGTTTTACTACAATTTTTGCGACCCCTAAAATTTAGTTACGTGATTCCGTATGAAGTCGTCGGAGTTTGCGGTTCATACTTTGAGAAGCCCTGCTATAAACTATAAAAAAGAAAGATAAAGCATTAATATAAACATCACTTGTTTTTTTTTTCGTGGGAAGATTATATATTTTATTCTTTATAGGAAAAAGAATTATATTTTCATAGTATTGACATATCCCCAGCCAAGTTCTTGATAAATAATTTTTTCTCTACCGACATTGAATTAGAACTTTCCGGCTTAATTTCTTTATCAACAAATAGTAAGTATAGTATATATTATAAAAAAAAAAGAAAGAAAAAAATAATTAATAATTAATAACTTATATTTACTACAAATATTTATAAACTCTATTAGTGTAAACGTAATTTTATTGATAATTACTATAACAAATATATCATAGATCTTCAACGAGAAGAATTAAAATACTACTTAAGAACATTGGGAAAAAAACTTTCTGCCTTCTTTAAAATAGAAAATGCATCATCCGCAGAAACTTGTCCTAAAATAATAGAGAACATAATCAAAAGGTAAGTGTATAATATATTTAGTTATTTATACATTTAACACGTTGAGTGCCACATCAGTCATCAGTGACTGACACATTTAACTGTTTTTCACTCTTAAACAGCGCGCGCGTGACCTGGCGGGAATTTTCTTATAAATCCGCGTGGCACTCAATGTGTTAAGAGAGATTATTATCTCTGTCTTTTTGTAATATAAATTCTTTGTTTTTCTTTTTGCATTAAATTTTGTTAACTTATAAAAATTAAAATAATTGAACTCTTGTGTACATAAAAATGTGTCTATATGTATAAGTAATATATATTTTAGGATACAGGAAATGGGATGTAAATTCATTTCTCGAATTCGTTTACCACGATTCATCAGCCCTTACATGGTCAGTGCGCATGTACAATATATACATTGTGCATTGCAATTGCGTCGTAAAAGATTTAAATTCATCTTTTTATACAGGGCGTCGAGTTATATTCAACGCACAAAGCTAAAGGAATGCATCTGTTAGAGCTAATAAATAAAGATTATCATAGACGAATGGATGATACTTATTGGGCACATAGTATACTTTCTAACGATGGAAAACAAATAGCTCTTATATCTTTACAGTAAGTTAATTTTACAATGGAAAATATATATATATAGCAAAATTACTAAATTACATACAACAATTCATCATCCGTCAGACGAGTTTACCTGGTAGAAAAAGCGGCTGCGTGGGGATTGTGGAATATCAAATGGTCCATCGACATTAAGCAATTATCTCCGCCAACTGTTGTCGTGGATAAACTTGTTTTACACGTAAATAAGGTGATCAATATCATGAATTTGTTATAAATAATTTAAAAAAAAATCCTAGCCACTCTTATGTTTATACGAGAAGATAAAGAAGATACGTATATTCTTATGCATATTAGTGCCAGTAGTTCGCATGTACCTATGCAACTCAAATTTATGACGAATATAAGAAAAAACTTCCAAATATTTTCACATAATATATATGCAACGAACCAACGAAAGTCACTTTAATAATTTCTTTCTTTGGGGGTGGGTTCTTCTTTAGAACGAGCAAGCATCAACAGCCGTTGTAGACTGGTATTTGGAAAGCAAGGAATTGGAGGTCCTAGAATGGCTGTGTCGCAAAATAAATACTGCAATAACTTTAAATATGGAGAGCAGTATTTGTTCCAAACAAGATGTATAATATATGAAAGTTGACTATAAAAGAAAAAATTAATGTATATTTACATTAGTTCGGCATAATAAATTCTACCATGAATGCAAGTTATTCTTCATCTTCCTACATATCTTTCTTTTTTCATATCTTTTAAAGTCAGATTGCATATCCATCTGGATAAAGTACGTCTAGTTTATTTCATAATTTATTTACAAAAAGTCTTAGTAAATTACACTTACAGGCATCTCCACTCGAACTAAAGTAAATAATTTAAGAGCTACACGTATGTAGATATCTATAGAGTAGGATACTTTGGGGTTGGGGAGAAGCCAGGACCAGGGAAAGTGTTCTGTTTTTTTAACTTATTATCTTCTAATTACTTTTTAAAAATTAAATCCAAATATCTTTATAAGCTATTGCTCTCTCTCTCTCTCTCTCTCTCTCTCTCTTCCTTTCTTTTTCTCTCTCTGTTCCTCTTCATTCCTCTCTCTCTCTCTCTCTCTCTCTCTCTCTCTCTCTTCCTCTCTCTCTCTTTCTCTCTCTCTCTCTCTCTCTAAAACTTAATTCCGTCGGTTAGATCTTTCACTACTGAGTAAGGAAGTACCAGTGGAAGGTGTGCAACAACAACAAGTTAATGCATTACCGTTGCATGGATGATGATCAAGTGGGATTTACATTAGGTAAATGTATGTATATGCAAGAATCTTCAAAATATGTGCAGAAGCTGACAATCGGTATTTGTTAGTTTTACAATAATATATGCACTTTAAAAAGCATAAAGTCTTGATTATAAATATATCCCCCTTACAGTCGTTTAATGGCACGATCGATCTTAAGTTTAAAAATTCATCTTCTTTTAGTTTTAGTTTTACTTTTCTTTTCTCTTCTCTTCTTTTTTTCTTTTCTGTTTGTTTATTTGTTCTCTCTTTATAATCATTTAGTACACAATCACCCCGGAGCTTTTCTTTTAACTATTATAATCGGTTTTCTTCTGCGTTAGAGTGTATCACAACGGCATTTTTTTAAATTACGTTTATAAATATGATTTTTTTTATTCCAAAGACTGCAGTTAGACATCACTACTTTCAATTCTCTGTATTTTTCTTTTTTTAAGAAGCCATTAAAAATGAAATCCACTGAAATGCGAAATCTGACATACTTAAGTGATCGTTAGCATACTCGTTTCTTATTTCTTATCTTTTCTTTCTTTCGTTTTTATCATATAAAGCTGTTTCTTTACAGACACTGTCCCCCCCCTCTCTCTCTACCAACCCCCATTCTTCGTGCACACAATATAACACATACATACTTGAGCATTTGTTTCGTACTATCTCTCTCTCACTCTCACTCTTACTCTCTCACTCATCAATCACTCAATTACTCACACGCACGCTCCAACACTCTCTCTCTCTCTTTCACTATCTCTACTCAATCAATCACTCACTCCCTCCCTCGCTACTCACATCCAAACGTATGCGCGCGCGCACGCATCACACTTTCTCCCTCTCTCTTTCACTACTCACTCACTCACTCATTCGCTCAACTACACTTTCTTTCATCTACAAACACATCCTCTTCCCCTACCCTTCCTTTCATTTCTTCACATGCCGACGACTTTGTTTTTAAATACAGAATTATATACTGTCACGCATCAAATGTTCAGATAAACGCGATGCGTATCCTCCCACAATTATTCCTCCTCGTCCTTAAATATTATATACGCGCTCTTGTCATGACCATCAATTGCGTTTATTACTACTCTTTCTCTCTCACATACATTCGTATTTTATATATCATCATCCTTTTCACACCTTCTTTCTTTATCACTTATACTTGCATGTATTCGTATTTTGTATATCATTTTTCTTTCCACACCCTTTCTCTCCATCTCACTTTTTCTTTTTCTTTCAGCCCTTTAAACGCTCTAAATTTCTATTCCATTCTCTCCCCTAATCTCATCGCTTCATAATCTTCACTTCTCTACCTTCGTTTCATCTTTGCGTCATTCATTGACTCACTCATTTCCTTTTCTTTCTAATTAATTTCATTCAGCAGCGACAACGTAATATATCACGCAACACGTTTACCTTTTTCTCTCTTTTGCTCGCTCGCTTTTTCATCATTAGCAATGTCTTTTCTTCAGTTCTAGTTTTGTTTGCCTGTACTTCTTCTAAAGTCGAGACATTTGCAGCGCCGTGTTTTTTAAGCTACGAGCGCATTTTTCTTCTTCTTCTTCTTCTTCTCCTTCTCCTTCTCCTTCTACTTCTTCTTCTTCTTCTCCTCTCCTTCTTCTTCTTCTCTTCTTCTTCTCCTTTTCTTTTTCCTTTTCCTTTTCCTTTTCCTTTTCCTTTTCCTTTTCCTTTTCCTTCTCCTTTTCCTTCTCCTCCACCACATCCGTCTTTCGCGCTGTTGGTCCAAACGCGATACGAGAAAAATTGAATTAAAGATTCAATGGAAGTGTGTTATGTGTGTTTTCTTCCTTTCTTTTTTTTTATTTTTTGTTTGTTGTGTGTTATCTACAAAATATCTTAATTACTCGCTAATTACAGCACAAAACATGCAAATATAAAAATTTGCATTATACTATCGTTAATATTTATATATATAATAATCGCCACCCGATATATTATCGTTTATTTTTATTTTTTATTTTATTTTTTTTCTTCTTTCATAATTATAATCATAATCATAATCATAATCATAATCATAATCATCATCGTCGTCATCGTCGTTATCGTCGCATCGTCGTCGTCATCGTCATCGTCATCGTCGTCGTCGTCGTCGTCATAATAATAATAATAATAATAATAATAATAATAATAATAATAATAATCATAATAATAATAATAATCATTATATTTATAATAATCACAATAATAATAATAATAATTATAATAATCATCATCATCATCATAATCATCATTATTATCATCATCATTATTATTATTATCATCACCATCATCATCATCATCATCATCATCATCATATTCATCATCTCATCATAATCATCATCTCATAATAATCACCATAATCATCATCATCATCATCATGATCATAATAATAATAATAATAATAATAATCATCACCATCATGATCATCATAATCATCATTATCATCATTATCATAATAATAATAATCATCACCATCATTATCATAATAATAAAAATAATAATAATGATAATAATAATGATAATAATGATAATA